TTTTTTTTTTTTTTTTTTTTTTTTTTTTTTTTTTTTTTTTTTTTTTTTTTTTTTTTTTTTATCATCCCTCTACCCAGGCCTAAAAGCACACAACGTTTTAAAAACATTGGTTATAAACTTGTATTTAAAACTTGAAAAAAAAATTTTTTTAATGTAATGGAGTTTAATAATAAGTTTTTTTTTTTTTTTAACTTTTTTTTGTGACCGCAAACATTCCTGGATTCCTCAAAAGACAATTTACATGTTAATAGAAATAGTTAATTATTCTGAAAAGCAAAATGGCATGCCGATGTGTTATACCTGCAGATTCAGGGTTATAATGTTATACATAAATTTTCGCTTTTACTCTATTGTAAAGCCCATATTGCATATACCAGCTGCACAAGAAGTACTAGTTAATTCATGTGGAAGCAGAGTTTTAGATAATTTTAAGCTGTTTGCTCAACTTTATTGCAATCTCTTTGTTTCTTTAACAATTATTTGAAGGATCAAAAAAAACTGTTTTTCCCACATTTTAAATGTATTACAATAGAGAAACGTAGTACAATTAAAGAAAAACTATGTACTAATTTATTTAAAATAATTATTTGTTTATTAAATATTTCATAGCAATAATTCGAAATAGTCTACTATGATAGTATATACATACGTATCATGTATATTATATGATGTATGTTACATTTACAATACATAGTTCCAAAATATAAATGCCAAACGCTAAAAAATCAAAACAAATTTTATTTTTATCTTCAAATGCTGTTAAATTAAAATATTATCTAAAATTCACAACTGTAAAGAAAGACATACTATAGTTTTTTTTTTATTAAATTGTAGCGTTACACGTTATTATATTTTAATGGCAATAGTATTGTTCAATTACATGTGGCGTGGATAATTAAAGCCTTACGTGGATAATCAAAACGAAAAAAGATAGAGTGAGATGACAGTAAGTTTATCAAAGTTGGAAAAAAAAATTTTAGTTTGAAGGAATAGATTTGTACAGCATGGAAAAAAATTAATTTTACCAATAGTTGAGGGTTGAGTGCTTTAACTGTAATAATAAGAATACAAAGTAAGACATGTATTTCTAAGTACAAAAAGTAGTACAAAATTGAAAAATCCAAAAATCATCAAAGTTATTTACGTATGGGAGTATTATTTAATAGAATAGCGATGTATTGATACAATAGCAAGAATAAGTTATCGTAATTGAGAGATAGTGAATAAATATTAAAGCTAAATACATACATTTTGTAAAAAAGAAGGCAGAACTATTTTAATCGCACGATATTACTCAAAAGGCGTAAAATTAAATCCAAAATGGCGAGTGCCAGCTCAAAAAAACTATTTCATTTTGCAAACAGTTTAGAAGATATTGAAAAAAAAAAAAAAAAAAAAAAAAAAACAAATAAAACAGTGTGTCGAACACGAAACAGTTAAAGCCCCCAGCATAACTAGAACGTCACAGTTTGAAAAATTTGGTAAGAGAGTGGATTAAGGAAATACCTTTCTCTAAAATCCTTATCGGGGTCAGTATAAACTCATAAACAAATATACATGCATATACACACCCACACACAAAATAGTTTTCCGTGAATAATTGGAACTCGTACACTTATTCTATACACCCCGAGGGTATGTGTTGATCATCACACCGATAGATATTGCTACTTAACAACGGTATAGTGTGCCTATACACTTCACTAATTTATATATAACCCAACACCAATTCGGGAATGTACATGCAAATAAACAAACTCTGTTCCATAATTCAATTCAGGGCATAAATTTCACTCGAGTGTTTTACATCTCCTTTGATTATTTTTTCTTGGTGCAAAATTTATCATGATTATTAATAAACAATCGATACCCAATAAATTTATTAGAAACTTTTGGTAACATATATTAGTAATGTAATTCAGAGCCAAGATAGTAGTAAGTTACATTTGTGTATAATCTTATACGTGTAAATAAAAGAATGTTATTTATATTGAAGTTGTGTTCGTATGACGCTTATATACACATATGTAGTCATACTTGAGTCTTGTTAGCTGTTTTTTCAGTAAGTGGCAGTCACTGTACCTATACGCTATAGCGTCGACTCGTATAGTATACAGTGACTCCCACTCCTTGCACACCTGATGGGCGATAAGTCAGTACACTTATCTTTATGACGAAAGCGGAAAAATTCCAAAAATATTCATTAAAGCAATATTAAAATACTTCAAATGTAACAAAAGTGCTGAAAATTTTTTTCAAACAAAAAGATGTATGTGAGACAATAAACTAAGATACTGTACGTAATGTATGATAACTTTACCTCCAACGTTGAAGAATGACAAAACATATCATTTTATGATGTTTTACTTCAAACTGAGGTAGCTATTCCACGTGAACTTGATGCTCCAATGGTGTTGTTTCAGCCACAATGCGTGTCAATGATATAATGAACACGTCAGAAAAATAATGCCGATCTAAAACCTTGTAAATTAGTAACTAAAGTATTCACTTGATGGATTCTGAATCTAATTGTTAACGAAAACATGACCAAAAAGTAAAACTGCAGATACGAGTACTAAGTACAAGTACCTCTTAATATGTATACCTATCAGTTGAAAAGGCAAATTAGACGCACGTAGTGGCCCGCTCAATGCGTGAACTCAACTAAACTGACCACTACAACTCACAGCATATACTAACTTCCACGTTACAATACATAACTCATTAGAGGCGTCAGATAAGTAGGATATCTATAATTTTTTTTTTTAATTTTAATTTTAAACCACATTTGTCACAAACACAGAACTTGTTTTGTTCGACGCATGTCTAACAACCCAGAGCGCCCCAGGCTGTACTGTCAACGTAATACCTATACTGAATCTGTATCGACATATATTTTTGTTTATATTTTATTACATTGTATACTGATTGAATTATTTTCGTGGTACAACATAAAAAATTATGCATTTTTTTGTTCACAGTAATTGGGATACGATAAACAGTACACAAACGCGGTAAAAATTCAGTGCACGACTGTGGTAATAATACAAGAATAATAGTTTCATTTATTATAAGTGTAATAAAATGTATTTTTAGTCGCTACTTAAAACTTGTTTTTAATAGTGTTTATTAATAATTATTGATTCTTTTAAATTTTATGCAACATTTAAGTTAGATTTTAAAGAAAGTGCCACGATAATAGGGTCACTCTAGTTACGCCGAAAAAGAACTAGTTATTTTTCATTTTAAAATGCTCTTTGATGTCTTGTAAAACGATAGATGACTAGATGTGTTTATATATTAATAAGATAAAATAAAATAAAATCACGTGTTTTAATTTTCTAAAAATCTTCGGAGGTTGTGGACGACAATGTTATGTTTGGTTGAGTCACAATTTATCATGAAGTGTGAAGGAGACAACACATTTCCAGCATTTCAAATATTCAAGTGACATAATTAACGGAGCGTTGTTATTTTACGTCTCGATTATCCCTTTACAATAAAAAAATGCTTTTACTTAATGAATATAACGAAAAGTTTTTTGTCCCAAAGTTAAAAAAAGTAACCCTCTTATATATACTTCGAACGGTAACCTTTTAGTTTATATGCTATAAAAAGTAGTTTTAATCTGTTAGGCTGACGTAATCATGAGTGCTAGGAAAATACATGTGTCCTGTAGATATATTGAGAAAAGAAGCGTTTGCACAAATAAGTTCCCAACTTGACAAACATGTTTATCTATTCGCTAGCCAGCGCGCCTAACTCAAGTGGCGCCGCAGAGTGAGAGAAATTGTCCCTCATCGAGATTGACAGAATGCACGGAGCGTTACGGGAAAATTTTTTAATTAATTTAAAAAAAGATTATTGTTTGGTGTTGTTACGTATCCTACGAGATTGGAAAAAATAAAAACATGGACTGTGACTATGTCAACAAAACATGTATAAAAGCATGTATATAATATACAGTAAGGGTACTTTAATTTGTTCCGCGCGATATTAAAATTCTTAAACTGTTTTGTGCTACATAATAACCACAACTACTTTAAACTCTTATCACAAATACTTTAAACTCTTGACTAATTATATTCGCTCCGAGCCGATGCAGAGGTTGCGACCCCTCTAGTCAAAATCAGGCAAAACAAAAGTTCTTGCACGCAAACAAATGGCTTAGAACATATATACATGCATTTAGCTGCTTGTGATTGGCTGAAAGAGACAGCAGGAGGGGATCGTCATTCTCTCTCTAACCAGCCAAAAGTGCCAATACCGGCCAATCACCAGCAGCTGTACGCATGTATATATCGATGCCTTATTCAAATTTTCTCTTTTAAATTAACATTGGAAAATCTGAATAAGGATGGACTTCGTACGAGGCGTCGATATACTATTAGCAAGAAAACTTGTGGCTGGACGGTTTCAAAACTTGACCTTTACAGAGCATATTACCAGATCCCTATCGCGCCTACGGACATTATTAAGACTGCAGTCACGACCCCGTTTGGTTTGTTTGAGTATGTTTTCATGCCTTTTGGCCTCCGCAACGCGTCGCAGTCCTTTCAAAGATATATCAATCAGGCTTTGGGTGATCTGAACTTTATTTTTGTTTATCTTGATGACATTTTAGTTTTCTCTTCCTCTCCCGAGGAACACGAGTCTCATCTCAAGACGGTCTTTGATCGTCTCAAAAAATTCGGCCTCCGCCTTAATCTAGCCAAATGCGAATTTCACAAATCAGAAATCGTTTTTCTTGGCCATCTCATCGATCAGGATGGCTCAAGGCCGTGCAAAGAGAAAATTCGGGCCATTGCCGATTTCCCCAGACCCAAAACGGTTCTCGAGCTCCGAAGGTTTTTGGGCCTTGTAAATTTTTATCGGCGCAGCCTTCCCAATGCTGCATCTGTTCAGGCTCCTCTTTATGCATTCACGCACGACTCCAAAAAAAACGATCGCCGGCTAATTGATTGGGCGGAAGAATCCATCGAGGCTTTCGAGGACACCAAAAATAGTCTTATTAACGCTTGTCATCTCGTGCATCCCTCTTCCACTGCTCCTACGCGTCTTGTAACCGATGCCTCAGACTTTGCCATGGGTGCAGCCCTCGAGCAGTTGACTGATGGAACCTGGCACCCTTTAGCGTTTTTCTCGCAAAAATTCTCTCCGGCTCAGTGCAAATATAGCGCTTATGATAAAGAACTCACTGCCATTTACACGTCCATAAAGTACTTTAAATATTTCCTTGAGGGTAGGTGCTTTAAAATCGTCACTGACCATAAACCCCTGATTTATGCTTTCGCGCAAAAGGCTGACAAAGCCTCTCCTCGTCAGTGTCGACAGCTGTGCTTCATCTCTCAATATTCCACAGAGATCGAACATTTACCCGGCACAGATAATGTCGCAGCAGACGCTCTCTCTCGCGTCGACATGATTCGCCTACCCACTGATATCGAGATGCCCGAACTTGTTCAGCATCAGCAGCACGACGTCGAGTTAAAGTCACTCCTCGAGTCTTCAGACTGCTCGTTAAAACTGAAAAGCATCGAACTAGGTCACGAGCATCTTCGTCTCTTTTGCGACCTCACGGGCAAAATTCTTCGTCCCTACGTTCCAAAAGTTTTACGTAAACGAATTTTTGATCTTTTTCATAGTTCTTCTCACCCTGGCGCTAAAGTTACAGATCAACTGATTCGTCAAAGATACGTTTGGCCCAACATGCACCAAGATATAAAATTTTGGTGTCATGGCTGTCTCGATTGCCAACGATCTAAGGTCTCTCGTCATGTAAAAAACGAACCCAGTCAATTTATAGCTCCGGACGACAGATTTCGTCATGTTCACATGGACATCGTTGGTCCTCTCAAGACCTGTGAGGGTTTCTCGTACCTTTTAACCATCATAGACCATTTCTCTCGTTGGGTGGAGGCTGTCCCTCTCAAGGACATTCAAGCCTCCACGGTCCTTCGTGCCTTCCAAGAGACTTGGGTCGCTCGCTTCGGTGCCCCACGATTTCTGACCACAGATCAGGGTTCTCAATTTGAATCCACCATATTTAACGCCTACCTTTCCTTCATAGGCTGCCAGCGCAAAAGAACCGTTGCCTACCATCCGGCTGCCAACGGGCTCATAGAACGCTGGCATCGCAGTTTCAAGGCCGCACTCATGTGTCACAATGATCCTAATTGGGTTAAACTTCTCCCCACAGTTCTGCTTGGCCTCCGCACTGCAGTACGGACTGACACAGGAGCCTGCCCTGCCGAATTCTTATACGGTACAACCTTACGCCTGCCCGGTGAATTCTTCTTCCCTGACAATTTTTACTGATAATAACAATTATGATGAAAATGATAATGATAATGGCACTTGTGATTACGATAATAATAATAAAGACAATATAACAAAGACTACATAACGTTGACGATAATTAAAAAGAAATTGATAATGATAATGACAATGACAATAATAATATTGCGTTTGCTATTGGTAATAATGTTTATATTATAATAAAACTATTAAATATAGTAGAAATAGAGATAATAATCGAAATGTTAATACTGATAGATATAATAAAGATCTTAATAATGATAATTATGATAATAATAACAATGATGATGATGATAATGTTGATGATGATATTAATGAAAAGGATTATGATGATGATGATGATGATGATGAAAATGATGATAATATTATTAATGATGGTGGTACTTAAATTAATTATGATGTTAATAATGATAATAATGACGATGATAATGATATTCAAAATGATTATTATAATGATAAGATAAATACTTATAATAATTATAGTGAAGCTGATAATAATGATAGTGATAAAAATGATAATAATAATTATAATGACGATGATGATGATTATAACGACAATACTGATGATAGCGATAATGTTCAAGATGATGATGATGTTGATAATAATGTCGATGTTATTTAATGTTTAGTCACACCAAAGTGCCTTGCGTTGGTCGATTGTAACTCAGAGACTGCGAATTTATAGTTTTTAATATCTCTGTTATTGTAAAGTCAATGTTAATTGTGAAACAGTCTGTAAAACTTCTTTTAAATGTCTTCTTGACTTGCGCTAGCAACATTTATGTTTTACGTCTAATTTATTATTAGTTAGATCTACATAGACTTTAAGTAGTGTCTAAACACATTTTGCAATTATATTTATCGTTTGAGTCTTACAACTTTATAATGGCCTACACCTGCGCGGCCACAGCGGAATTACACACACTCTGTAAATTAGTATTTTCTTTTTTTTTCTCTTTTGTGTCAACACTCTGTTCCGTTAAAACAAATTGTTTCCAACGTTAATTGTAACTAAGTAAAAATAATCCAATTTGTGTTGTACTGCGATTTAAACAGTAATGTTTTTGTCAAGCTGCGTTCAAACATTTTTTTTTATTATTCTTGTAACTCATATCAGTTTGCGATGGCCACAGCCTTCCACTTTTTTTTTACTTGTTCTGTCTCAGGGGGGAGTAGTGTGGGGACCCGACCCTGCTGCGCAACCGTCGGTAAAAGAGTAGGCTCTTTAGCCTTCCTCCGCTTCTCTTTCTCCAGCCTCTCTGCTCGCCGTGCAGGCCGCTGCGCGAGCAGAGAAGTCTCGACCGTCATTGCGAGCACACATTTTGTAGCTTCCTTGAGAAGCCCTTTCTTACCAGTGAATATTAAACCTTTTCTTGTTAATGTTAACAAGTGTTTAATTACTTCACCTTCCTCCTCAACTCCTGGACACGGCAGCCATGGGACTGCCAACTCAAGCCGATTCATAGGCCACATACTCCTCATATCCCATAGTGCACGAAGCCTATAGGAAGACATTACGCCTTCTTGAGCTCCGAAGGCCAGCTTGGTACTGGAAAAGATGTTATTGAACTCATGTCAATTGATGCCAAATATGTGAAAGATGTTGAAATTCTTCAAGTTTCAGGTGTAGGACAGCATAAGTAGTTAGGATGAGAAGCGACGACATACTTACGAGAGTTTTTGTTAGCTTTTTTCAAAATTGATTTCACTGGACTTGTTTGATTTTTAATTGATAAAATATTTAGTGTGATGAGAATAAAAATTGTATTTTAATTTATTAGAGTCACAGTTTTTATGAGCGTCAATGTTTAATCATTGACGACTCTTGAAACAAATTACACCCTCAAAGAAAAAAAATAATAAAAATTATAGAGGAGTTCCAGCAAAAATATTACCATTCCGCACAGTAAATCAGATGCAAACTGGCAAAAAAAGAAAAAATTATTTTTAACAGTTTGAATTGTAGTTTGAACAGTAAAAAATACCATACTGGAACAGTAAACCTTACAAGGATCAATTAATAAATTTTACTTTCCCGCACGATAATTTTTACTGTTAAAACTATAATTTTTACTACCAAAACAATAATCTTTGTAATTAAAATAATTATTTCTTCCTTTTTTGACATCTGATTTTCTGTGCGGATTCGTAATTTTTGCTGGAATTTCTCTATAATTTTTATTATTTTTTTCTGTTACTCCATAAGTCGCAGACTCTCGCGTAGACTAATAGTACTTTTGTAATATGATTTTTTTTTTTTATGTTACCTAAAGTGCCTTGAACCTTCTGTTTTATAAATATAATAGTGGTAAAACAAGCCAAATTTGGTCGCATAACGCAGCATATGTCTTAGACTTTCTATTTTATGTATGTGATTGTTTTATACAGCCTACTGTTACTAATTAATTAAAAAAAATTATAATGCACCCTGCTTTCAGCAGATAATGTAAAAATTGAGATGCTGACACCACGCAATTTCAGAAAAAAAATTTGCCCGAGCTGGTGCTTTTTAAATTCTGCTTTCTTTAATTAAAGTATAAATTAAAACGTTTTGATTTGACTGCTGCTTTTTACCTTTTAGGAACAAACCTTAATTTTTATGCCAGCAGCTAGCATCAAGCCATCAAATCTACATCGTTATCGTTACCATGAACACTGGATAACTCAAATCGTAAAGAAAAATAGCTCAAAGGAATAAAGGTTATTTTTTTACTTAAATTAACGAAAAAATTTTCAGACTTCATGATATATTAAATAATACATTGTTAATCATTTTTTGATGCATAAAAATCATGAGAAAAACCATACTTTTTGTGCGTCAGTTAGATAGCAATTCTCCATTTACATACCAGATATCGTAAAATTTTGCTGAAAACTTTTGTTATAAAAAAACTATGACATACATGATGCTTCAACTCTTTTTAATAAGCAATTTTTGTAGAACCCAAATTTTTTTAAAGAAACCCATACGTTTTATCAATAAAGTCCTAAACTAAACAATGTAAAATTTTTAATTTAAAATAATTTAAAACGCCAAAATGACTCATTTCCTATACTTAAATAAATATTAAAAATGTGTATTAATATTTAGAAAATATTTCGTCACAATACATTCGTAGGCTAGTAAAGGGAAATAATCGATAAAACTTGTCAAGAAATATTCTTAAGATTAAATATATTTTAAAAGTCTCTTTCTTACATAACAAAAATACGTAAAATCATGCACTTGATCTTAAAACAAGGAAATTAAATATTTCACAGAATCTTTGGTAAACTACTTCACATATTTGTATCACACCGCAATTGGCCGAGTCTTATTTTTAAACACGACACTTTGGTTGTTGGAGTCTCTTCACTTGCAACTAAAAGTAACGCTGCAGTGGCTGGCTCACCAATAGGTAGATTTCATTCCAAACCGAAATTCTCAACCAACACTACGCAAATCTAGTAGAGGAAACTAAAAAAACCTATAAAAAAAATTAAATTAATATTTTGTCGCACTCCTTGCACATAGTGTTTAACCTGTGTCATTTTTGTTTTTGCTTTCGTTTGGTGGTTTTTTGGCCTTGTTTTTTGCTTCGTGAGTGTTCTTGTTGGTTTTTTTGCTCCTTTTCGGGCGATGCCAGTCGTGTTATTTTGGTTCATTTTCGTTGGTGGCCTATGTCTTTTTTTTGCCTATCACTTGTTTGGTAGTGTTGCTCTTTTTCTTACTTTTATTTTTTGTTTTTTCTGCTTCCGTATCTTCCTTTTGGTTGCCTTTTTTTACTCGTTGCCCGTGTCTGGAGCGTTTTAGTTCGTCATTGACTACTGTGTCGTTTTCCTCATCGCGGTGCGGTAGCTGCTCTTGTTTTATTTTTTGTACCCTATGTGCAAGGAGTGCGACAAAATATTAATTTAATTTTTTTATAGGTTTTTTTAGTTTCCTCTACTAGATTTGCGTAGTGTTGGTTGAGAATTTCGGTTTGGAATGAAATCTACCTATTGGTGAGCCAGCCACTGCAGCGTTACTTTTAGTTGCAAGTGAAGAGACTCCAACAACCAAAGTGTCGTGTTTAAAAATAAGACTCGGCCAATTGCGGTGTGATACAAATATGTGAAGTAGTTTACCAAAGATTCTGTGAAATATTTAATTTCCTTGTTTTAAGATCAAGTGCATGATTTTACGTATTTTTGTTATGTAAGAAAGAGACTTTTAAAATATATTTAATCTTAAGAATATTTCTTGACAAGTTTTATCGATTATTTCCCTTTACTAGCCTACGAATGTATTGTGACGAAATATTTTCTAAATATTAATACACATTTTTAATATTTATTTAAGTATTGGAAATGAGTCATTTTTGCGCTTTACAAGATAGAATTAATAAGTACTAAAAAAAAAATTTACTCCCCCAATAAAATTAAACAACTATTACAAAAAGTTAACAGTCCCAAAAATATTTCAATAAAATGTTAAAGCAACTGAATTTTTGGAGCAATGTATGCATTTTCTAATAAAAAAAAATTTTTATACGAGAAAAATAACCTTTTATTGGGTATGCTTTGTCTCTCCTTATCATGGCAAAAATCAAGTTACTCTATTAATACTTAGTAGGTATTTATGACTTGAAAGAAAGTCAAAGCAAAGACCTAAGATGAACATTGATAAACTTCAGCGTGTAACTAGAATAAGGGGGGGAGGTGATGAGTACATTTTTTAATAGGATTAATAGTTGTAATTATAACTAAAACATTTAGATTTTATGACTAAGAAGGTAACCCCGTTTTTCTGTACCCTTTGCTACACTCCTGGATATATATATATGAATATTACTCACTGCAGATCTTCGATGAAAGTTTTCTTTCACTTTTAACCATTTAAAGTTGGACTTTTTGAGGCTTATTGTAGTTAATAAAATGCAAATAAAGTGCCTTTTCCAGTCAATGTCAGCGCTTTAATAAATATTCATTAACGACAGTTATTAGATTTGCTGTTATGCTCGAAACTTTGGGTCGCATACTTGACAAATAATTTGACTTAACTTTTTGCAAATAACCAATAACCGTCAAATTTTAGTGTAAAAAAATGTATTCCATGCTAATCTGTGTAAAAGATAAATACTTAATACTTGTAAAAGGATTAACAGACAGCTTTGCCATAATATAAATATTATTTAATTTTTTTCAAGTGGAAAAAAGTAGCTTAGCTACTGTAATGGAATATACACTCAAAATGATATTGTTGTTAATCAAACGTAGATTTAAAAAAAACATCTTTAATTTTTTAGTTTTTATAAAATTTTAAGTATAAAAAATAAAACTTTATTTTAATATGGACCATTTAAACTGTTCTTTGGCTGATTGTAGGACCTGAAAATGAATATCATTTACCAATAAACTAGAACTATCATATGTTATATACACAAGATCATAAATCATAATAGTTATAACATATGAACTGACCTGTGCCACTGTTTGTTCACCCAGAGGTATATCATCTGCCCTCAGAGCAACTCTTTGAACTACACTTGTTGCATCAGCATCAAGAATAATACTATAATAAAACATAATATTTTTCGTACTACTGATACTTTTCACTTTCACAAAGTGAATTGGATAGTATATGGAAGTTGAAATATTCTTACCCTCCATCACAAATTTCATCAACTGCAAGCATAACAATATCTAAACCATCGAGCATTGCCCGTTTCTCAACATTTTTGTGAAGGATATGACTGACGGATTCATACAAACAATTTAATACACTCATCAAAATAAGCTGCAACAAACGAAAAATATAGCATACAAACTTTTGCTGAACCATGACATGGAAGTTTAAATGGATGCACACACATACCTCGTTTTCATGCGAGCTGCCCATAACATAGAAAAACAAATCGACATTGCTCTTGTACACACACGTCAACCCATCCAGCATGATAATTTCTGCGTTAGCTCTGTGAGTTTTGTTAAACAGGTTTTTTTCAAAGGCTTTCTGTTCTTTGGATGTGGGAAAAACATTTTTGTCGTAGTATTTGGCAAGTATCCTATTGCCATCGTTATCCAATATGGCTATGCCTTTAATTGTGTACAACGAAGGTTCCTGAAATAAAAAGTATCCAGTTTAAAACTAGCAGTACGAGTAAACTTTGAAATTCGAAATTTCTTATACATATGGAAAATTGGAATCTTGATTGGCATTTTGGAGCATTGTGAATGAGGTTAGGTTCTCCTTGCATGTATACAAACTGAGGCACAGCTCGAGCTTAACTGTGTTGACTTTCAAGCGAGAAGAAAATAAAATCAGTGACTTTTAACTCAACTCTGGCGTCATTGAAAACTAAAATCTTTGAATAAATACATACTCACCAACAGTTGGTCGTTCATTGCGACGTCAAAATTGACGTGTCGTGTCGTCTGTTTGGTGTTTAGGTTTTAGGTAATAGAGGTTGTCGACCTGATATGATATCGATTGGTCGTAAAATCGATCATGAACGATTACATGATCCAAGTTCCAAGATGACCAAGATTTCGAAAACCCTTAAATTTGACTTAATTGATGCGTCCACGATTTTTTCAGACCGCAAAATATTAATTATTCTTTGCAGAAATTAATAATGGTAATTTTCGACCCGTGAGTACTTACAAAGTAAAAAAAAATCTCATCCAAAGGGCGGGATTTTTGTATGATTGTGCCAAAGGTGCGAAGGACGTTTTTCTTCTCGAGGGCGAAAAGTGTTTCCACGTGCACAAACCACAAAGTACAACTTTGTGCCCTTCAGAAAAAAGAAAAGGTCGTTCGTACCGTAAGCACTTACTCCACCCTTTGAGATTTTTTCCACCATACAATAGTATATTACGCACCTAGTGAGCGAGGTTAAGAATGTCGCAGATTTCGCGTGAATAAACGGATAACGTGAAATCCAGGACATTTTTTAACCTCCGAACGTTGTGCGTATTCTGTTTTTCATCAATCCTGTGCCGAGAGAAGGGACGAACATCCACGTTTGGAGGTTAAGAAATGCATTAGATTTCACGTTAACCCTTTATTCACGTGTAATCTAAGGCATTCTTAACCTCGCACACTAAGTGCGTAATAGTATATTGCGTACGAGTTTGCAAAGACTTCGATTTACGAACCGAGAGGTTTACGGCACCATCCGAAAGCGAGGGCCGTAACGAGGTTTGTAAAGGAGACTTTTCGAACGAGTTTCGCATATTATTTTTCCGCTTGAGAACCCAAAATCAAGCGACGAAGGTGCTATTTTGAGGTTAGAAGGTGGAAATATACTATTTCATTGCCTTCGGCTCGGGTGGCAACTCGCACCCGTAAGGGAATGCCGCACTTTCTTCCCTCGGTGTGTAATATACCATTTTTAGGTACACTTTTTACATAAGTATGGTATTTGGATTTCAGGGTTGGAAAAGAAACAGAAGCTTTGGCTCTCGAGAGTCTCGAGACTCGAGTCACTCGAGACATTTTACGATATATCGCATAACCACGATTGAACATCTCGAGATGCGCTCTGCAATGCATGCAAAAATCATATGGACTGACCCTGATGAGTCGACAATACAATATACTCGAGATCATCTCTTGATCAACAAATCAACATTGCCATTCCGATCGCTACTCATCAATCCGTCGTGTGCATGATTCGTTTATTTGTCGTTGTGTATATTCTCACGATAAGTACGTTATCATCAGTATTTTCCAGTGTTCCTCTGGTGTTTTCTTCGTAAGTACAGGGACGCGACATAGGGTTCACGGCGGGACGCTGTCTGTCGGTCATCTGTTGTTAAAAATAATCAAATTAATAGTTAATCATTTGTGCGTTGTACATACACATCTCTATATAAACGTCTTGAATTAAGCATTCTGGTTTTAATTTATAAATTGTACATTAATTGCGTTTGTTTACACATGTGTCCTACGGTTTTTCAGCTGCAACATATAATGCAATTTGGAGGGAATTTTCATATGTGTTTTGTGTTGTAGATTTCCAATCCATATAGTCAATCAAGAGGGTTATGTTGCGTTTCGAACTGTAAAGCTTCTGTGATGAAGCAGAACTGACACACCAGAGTTAATTTCAAGTAAATATCTAAACAAATTTAAGCATGTCTAGTAAGGATCTCAGAGATCACTTGAGGAGGAAAGTGATGATTGAGAAAAAGTCATCACTAAATGAGACGGTAATTGCTTATTTTAGCTTTCTATCGAATTGTTTGAGTTACAATTTTAAGGGGATCGTTCTGTTTTTAGTTCAACTCATTGAGCATTGGTGAAATTATCCATGACCCCGAGTTGAAAACTTCAATATTGAGCAAAGCAGCAAGGGTGTCTGGTGAATTTGATAAGGTGACAATCGGCCCACGAGCTAATTTTGCTTATGAAAATACCCTAAACACCCCAAGTGAAAATGAGATCTCAGACAAGAATTCCTCTAAAAATCACAAGTCATTTTCATCATCCAGAAGTAATCTTACGTTTTCCATCAAGAAAATACTTTTGGAGAATGAACTGCTCAGAAAAGAGAAAGTTAAGGTATGTGCAATCTCGTCTAGTGTATTTTTTAAGAACATTGAATAATTGTACTGAAATTTTAGCAAGCTGTTGACAAGAAGAAAAAAGAAATGGAACAATCTCAAAGGCAACTGCAGGAAGAGCTGTCGGATATGTTAGCCAGGGTACTTATTCAGAAAGAAAAAGAAAATGAAGAAAAATTGATACAGCTGGAAGCTGAAGAAGAACAGCTTGCGTTTCAATTAGAGCAAGATCGCAAAAAAGAATTAGAGAGGCGGAAAATGAAAGAAAGTGAAGACATATTGAAGAAAATTCTTCCATTTAAAGAGAGTTTCCAAGCCAAGTGGAAAGATATTACAAAAATATATAGTGGGTGCAGAGATCAAAATTCTGCTTGTCGCCTGCTGAATTCCTATACCCACAGGATAAAAGAGTTGAGTTCACGGTGGGAACCGATACTTGAAAAAGCCAAGGTAACATCCCATATTTTTACAATATTTCAAGTGTTCAGTTTAATGTAAATTAATTTAATTTTGTTATATTTAGACAGGAGACCTTACTCAAGTAGATTTAAGAATGGTAGAGCTAATAGTCCAATCCAATGCTCAGCTTTACGAATCATTCAAGGCTGATATTGGTATGTGTAAATATTTTAACACGTCCATAAATATTTTAATATCAACATTTAATTCAAACTTAATGAACTTTTAGAACAAATTGAAATCGCGTACGACAAAGAAATAACAAGGAGAGAAGCAGAAGTGAAACAAGCCAAACTTAGACTGCAAGAAGAAGAAGCGCAAAAACAAAAGCAGATCCAAGAAGCAGAATATGCTGCAAAAGCTGAACAAGCCAATGCGTTGGTTGAACAGCAAAAAGTAGAGCACTCCAACCAACACATATCAGAAGTTGACGGCGCTCCGCAACCTCCTCCATATCCTAACACTCCTGAAGCAGCATCAGCTAATGCCGTAGTTACTCAAGTTACTACAGGTAAATGCTCTTCAATTGAGTATCTGAATTTTTTTTTTTTTATTATAATTTGATTTGTATTTTCTAAAAATCAAGCAGGAGAATCGTCTGACTATCCGGATGTTGAATCCTATTTGTTGTATATGGGTAGTCAAGTGTTTTTAAAAAATTACGAGGCTTCTTATCAAGATTTTATTCATAATAATGCAATGAAAGCGTTTAAATCCGAATGTCGAAAAACACTGAACATAACAATTAATTCCATTTCTCACTTGAATCGTGAACAATTGATGGATAAGTATGACAAGTTGAGGTTGTTTTTGTCGGGGAAGGGAAGTCCCAACATCTTGCTTAACCCTCAAGCCGAAGCTTATTCCAAGTACCTCTTGGCTCAAAAAATACTGGTAAGCAAGTAATGAAATCAGTAATAAAATCTTTTGTATACATTCATTACAAAATCGTCCATGAACAGGATCAAGGAGATATTACCATTTCGAGTAAGCCTGAGCTAGCATTTCCGTTCGCTGCTATTGTCGTTGCACTGTGGAATGACTGGCCTGACTTTGGTGAGATTCTTTTGGCGCTATTTCGAACAGTAAGTCCATTTTTTGCTCCTGTCTTCCTCTCGCGAAGAAACGATCAAACAGAAGAAGAGTACTACAAGTCGCTGGGCTGCAAGTATGGAGAGGATGGGAAGCCTGAGCAGCCTGATAAATTTTGGAAAAGACTCGGAGGTATTATGTACCTTTATGCTTCAATACTTGTGACAAGGCAGCGACAAGGTGTCAACAAACCTCATCCTCATGGACTAGGAAATGCATGGAGGTGGCTTGCTGCGACATTGAATTTCGGTAAATACGTTTTTCTATGATAATAGTACACCATGATAAGATGAAACATCACTGAAATTCACTGTTTTATCTATTTTTAGAACCTAAGAATGACATAGCTGATATATGTGCTACTTTGATATACATCATGCTGGAGGTCACAGGAAACGATATGTTAAAAACGTATCCTAATCAGTTTCCGAAATTACTGCTTATTCTTAACAACGTATATTACGAAAAACTGAAGAATGTGGATCCTGTTTTGAGCGCTCCCATTAGTCGGTTGGGCGATTTCTTAGCAACAGCTTTAAAAAAAGGCTCCATCCCACCACCTAAAGGACAACTGCCATATAATTTTTGGTAGTACACTAGTTCTTACCATTATATGATTAATATAGTATAAATTATTGTAAATATTTTTGAAAAATAGAAAACACTTGATTTATTTAAGTTACGTGCGTATTTTAAAAAAAGTAAAAAAAAAAAAAAAAACTGTTAAAAGTGAATGAATTTAAAAACAGAAAACGAAAAGTTATCAGTGAATGAGCAAATCATTAGCAAAATAACTCGTATCGAGTATATTTTATTTAAGTATTTATGACTGGGGTATATAACAATAAATTCTGGTTTAAAAATTTTCTTAGGTAACAATATTGTTTCATTTGAATAAAAATTGTTATCGTTCGTTGATTAGTATTCTATAAAAAATTCATTTGCTCATTGTAAAGCAAAATCATTGCATTGTTCTTATTAGATCGAGTATGACATTTTCCAGAATTAAAAAAACTTTTTATTAATGTTAAAATCTTTAACGTTTTTAAATGACAAATCATTAATTGTAAGCTAATGTTATTGAATGAAAAAAAAAATGTATGCTCTTTAATATTGAAATAGTCGATTATACATTTTATCATTGAGCAAAATAACCGTTTCACTCTTTAATAATCAAAGCAGTTTTATCACATGTATGGTAAAAAACATAGTCTTTAAATATTTTGAGACCGACGATAAAATAATATAAAAAATATAAGGCTTTTATTTGTATAAAAGTAAAAAATAGCGAATCGCGGGCTCTCAGTAATATGGGACACTGGTGGGCATAGATTTTATATTTTGAACTTCAACATTGCTTTTACTGTACTCTGCGAATCCAAGAACACTGTAGAGTCCAAACTTCTCCATCCACTCCGTATCTCGGCAAAGACCGAGCAAGTAATCCGTAATTTTTTCGATGATTTCATCTGGAAAGTCCGAAAAATCGACTCATAAATTTGTATTTCGAACAAAACTATTGTTTACCCAAAAATTAGCGAATAAAACTTTGGTTCCTAACAAAATTTACCTGGTATATTTTTATTAACCATAACGGGGTAAGGCGGCAGGGGCCCCAAGCTACTAAGAATGTGCAGTGAGTAAACCCCAGGCAAGGATTTCCTGTAGTACTTAATGACAGGTGACTCGAGTACGCAGACCTCGACCTGCTTACCAGCCACCATCTGCAACGCCGAAACTTGAGAATTGGCATCTGAAAGAAACAATCGTCATGCACGGAAAAGACTCTCAGGAAACATTTCACAACCTACCCAGAGTATTTCCAAAGAAGGCCGGCCCCTCGCCCTTGGCCCTCAGGTGATTGAACAGCAGCGTCGATGCTCCGATTTTTCTTCTTCGGTCGGGCAACGCGCACCTGTGGCCCCGAAGATCCATTATATCCTGCGACACAAGAAATAAAAAAAAGTAACACCACCGAGCTCCCTTTGAATGAGAAAACGTGTACCTCGACGTGAGGAGCTCTGTCGGTGGCGACGACAACATCGGCATAAACGTCCGGCGAGAAGGTTTTGTTCAGACGATGCTCGAACACGAAGCTCACAGGCAGCAGCTTGCCATCCTCCCAGGACTCACCAGCTGGCAAAATCGCTGTTGGAGATGAAAATTTCAAATCATATGACTTCCTGTACTGCACTTTTGTATCAATGGATAATAGGTTGTTGTAAGTTGTGTACCGATGTCGACGACGTCCTTGGCGACTGGCCGGTCAGTTCTGGACTCGTGGAGTAGCACTACTGGCTTCCCGGTGGCGACTTCGATGGCTTCGGCCACGACGTCGAACAATCCGACCGGCAATGACGGCACCAGGTGAGTCGCCAGGACTATCGGCCGGCAGTCGAGGACAGGTGGCTGTTTTGGCGGGTGCGTGCGCGGCACGGCGGTCTTCATCGGTTGATGCATCTGGAAAAATTACCGATTTTCAAGTCTACCTTTTTTTTTTGTTTTCTTTCATACACATGTTATTTTAATATTTTACAGTCGGCTCGGCTTCCTCGTCGTCGTCGTCCTCTTGAACGTCATCACCGATCATCTCGTCGCTGCTGCTGCTGCTGCTGCTGCTGATGCTCCTCTTCTCAACTTCCTCGACGACGGCAACCTGCACCTTGTCGGTCTCGGCGCTTGACGCGATCGTTGTTGACTTGTCGAATGTATCTGACAGCAGCGCGTCACTGCTGCGGGTAGGGGCAGCAACCTCCAGTACCGACGACGTCTGTTTATCCATGTCGTGGAGATGCAGTTGTGGGGGTGTATACGAATGTTGCATTGTGTGTATTGGCTGCATGAGAATTTAAAGGGAATAGAATAAGTATAAGAGTTTAATTTATTACATTGAAAATTTTTTGAATGAAAAATCTCAATAGAACATCAGCACACCATCTGTTTTGAATAGTGGACGCAGTTGTACGTGCTCTGTTTAATTTTATCTCGTGTCAACAGGAAAATTCGATACTGCTGCATAACATGTGCAAAACATTATCGCTAATTGAATTTTTTTTTTTTTTTTTTCAATGTCCATTGCATATTAATTTGTCAATCACATTGTCAGAAGACGTAGAAGAGCAGCTATTTGGTTTCCCTTTATTATTTTTCTCAATACTTGCACCATAAGTATTCATAAAAAAATTTTGTACACAGTAATTACCATCGCATATCGTGTACATACTAGGTTGTAAACAGTTTATGGTACCCGTGTAAATGAATTATTTACGGTTTTAACGTAATTATGCAAAAAAAATTTTTTTTTTTTTTTTTTTTACTAACTGACGACTCATTGCTTCCAGGCTTATATATTTTGTCGTAATTTAACAAAAGGATGAAATTATGAAAAAAATACCATGCTTTTTGGTGTAAAACACACGACTATAATTAATTAATAACCGGAGCAAGAAGTAAGAGACTCATACCTATAATTTATTACACGCATTGAGTATCAATGAAATGTATTATAATAATATATACACATATTGTACACATATATACACGCTCAAAGTGACACATTATCGTGCGCGAAAATAATCACTAGCTGCGCGTCTCGTGCACACGTCATGTTATAGTATAATAAAATGTACATAGCGATATAAACGTGTAAATTGTTTATCCATAGATAACAAGTAAAATAAATAAATGGACACCGTACGCAACGTTGTCAATGCGTATGTTGTTTCGCGTATTCAGTTCAAACGTACACACTTGTTATGTCAATCGACATATATGTATATAAAATATAGATACTAATTAGTATCGGCGTGAATTTTTCAATATTTTTTTCATAACTTTTTGGTTTACAAAGAAACAAAGTCAGAAATTACAACAAAATATAAATATGGCAAGCTGCATTTTTCTTTACTTATTGTCAATAAGAAATACTCACCACAACAACGAAAAACTAATACAAAAAAACTCGTACGTATATGCAATTGCGATATTTCAAATTTGGAACGAATTGTAGTTTATTTCGAAAAAAATTGGTCAAGTCACATATAAATCAAAACTTGAACAGGATGATTTATCGCCTAGATACAAAACGCATGTAAAAAAAAAGAATATCGTCTAACAGCACAACGCATTTTTACGAGATTGGTTATTAAAAGTTTTCTACTCAATATTTATATCCACGTAAAATTTTGCGTCAATACTTGTATAAACTAAGTTATTAACAAATTATCACGTTGAAAAAAAATTATTTAACAGATTTCCAACAAATTTTAATATTGTTAAACATTTTTGATTACTTCGAATCTCGAGTAACTAGAAAGTGGGATATCATTATATGAGAGCCAACCTCCTTAAAACGATTTTCATGATCGTAAAACTTTAAATACGGTACTTACTCACGATTTATTTATAACTCATGGGAGTAAAGGTCATATTATGAAGATCAATTAAGGTAGTCCTTGGAAACTTTATTATAATATATAGAATTTTTTTTTTAAGATAAAAATTTGTTATACCCGAAAAATAGATGACTCAGTTTGGTCTCTTACCCAAGTTAGCAGTGATTAAATTCAAAATCGTTTAACAAATATGCTTCCCACAGACTCGGGTGTGTATGTACTTTTTGCAAATACTCTGATACGTAATTTGTTTCCAAAAAACCTAAGAGCTTGTTGAAAGCACATATTACTTTCATTACTACTTATATAGTATCGCAACGTTACACTATACCTTTCAATTCATTTTCTTTTTTATACGTGAATTTAATCGTAATATGTTTTATATTGATTAAAGTTGCTTTTAACTTCAAATCATTAAATATAAAAATTTTCTTTCTCTCTTCTGTTAGTTTATACACTTTTTAGTATTTGGTATACATTGTACTAAGTACTATGTATCCCGCAATTGTACAATAACTCGCAACACACAATACAATACAACACTCGCAACACAATTCTTCCGTTTATTAATTACGTAAACAAATAATCTAATATTCAAACGATAAACTGTCATTTGATAAAAATATTTTGTTTAAAGTACTTTAACAAAGAGTTTATCTTGTAAAAATAAAACTTGCTCGGCTACAATAAAGCCAATATGTCATATACCAAGTCAAAATATTTTTATCTTAATCCTCTATACGGAATCTCAACAAAAATTAATGTCAGTAAATAAATGAAGAAAAAAAACACTCACCACGTATATACATATAATATTTATGTGATTGTCTACTCAACAAATTATCTTATATACCCGCGAATATGCTTATACCGAAAAGAGCAATGTAGCTCATTTAAGTATAGTAACGATGATAGTATACGAAGATGCTGATGGTCGATCGTCTGCCTCTACCGGCTAAACTTACCGGTCGACTGTGGATAATCACTGAAACACTTCTCGGGAGAAGAGTTTGCGAGTCTTGTTCTTTCCTTGTACATCTCTTACTATATTATAATGCGCCTCTATGTGTGTAGGTATTTCTGGTTCTCCCAAGCAACCCAAGCTTCATATTATACGTACACGTAACGTATCCGATAACAATCAATGTATAGTTTAAGCCGACAGTAAAAAAAAAAAAAAAAAAAAACTCGCGATGTACGGGAAAAATATCGTTCGATCACCAGTCGCGTTACAAATGTTTACGCATTCTTGGTTTTCGATGCTTTCAACGTGACTTTGTTATTTACTTATCGAACGCGGGCACTCGACAGATGCGTGACAGTGACATGCTAACGATAAAAATGTAGTTATGTTGTACACTTAATCATCATCTAATATGTATGGAGATATAATATGTACTGAAACAGACAATTTTACTATTTGAAAGTTTTACACTTATAATTTTTTTTTTTTTTTTAGTTTAAATTTCACTGATCACTGTTTTACGCTTCACTGTTTGAATGTAAACTTATTATTGTCGGTCCCACATTGGATTACCGATTAATATTTAAAATAAAAATTCGTATTAGCTATATACGGGTACTAAAAAAACGGCCATCATTTTTCACTATTTCAAATTAATCGTATACTAATCCAATCGAAAAGACATGAAAAGTCGTATTAGTAGTTTTGTTTGGTTGTGACAAATTAGATATAGTGCTGTTGAACTAATGTTATAAAGTGACTTCGTTTCACATATTTGTTCCAGCACCTTGTACCAAGAATCATACATATATGTTGACTATATTTTTCTGGTAAATACGTGACAAAATCGTCAAATTAAAAAAAAAATAATAACATTGAAGAGGTAATGAAAAAATTATATATAGCAGGGGGTAAAGTTACGGTGACGAAAAAACCATGTTATATAATGCATTTGACGCTGACGCATCAGTGAGTCTTATTAAATTAAACAAAAATTGAATTTCTATGATAAACACTAAAAAAACATAAAAGTCCGTTGACTAACGAATACGAACGAAAGATGTTAACGAAAATACATACTATAATGTACATATCTACATGACCTAAAAAAGTCACGCAAAATTATTTGTATATACTTAATATTGTTTTATTTTTCATACATCAAACCAGTTTTCTATGCATTAAATTTTAACGATGACTATATGAAAACATTTATATGGTTGGGAATTAAAAAAAAAAATTTTAGGTTAAAACGACGTTTTCCTTTCCGAGGGCGCAAAATCGTACTTTGCGCCCGCGAAATGGTACAGTGGAGGCTGTTTAATTTGTTGAGCGGGAAATTCAAATATTCGATTCCCATCGGCTGATTCCATCACATAACCTCTTTCATTGGTAAATTTTATACTCCCCGGGTGAAAAGTACATACAAGCTTGGTTGTTGTGCGTTAGTGCCCGGGTCGCGTATATTGTTTTTCTCACCGAAGGCTAAAAGTGCAATTTTGCGCCCGGTAATTTACTTTTCTCCCGCGGGCACACAGTGATTATTACAATTAGTGCGGCCATGGCGAAAAGTAGTAGTTTTCGTACCTATACTGATGCGTGTTACCAGGGCAATCATTGAGCCCGAGGAACTCCTAGCTTGTGCTTGCGATACTTAGTTGGATTCGCACCAGGTTGTAACTGAGGGCGCAGTGAACGTCCAAACCCAGCAAACATTTAGTTTGAAGATTTCTTAAAGATGTCTTCTAGGCGGCGAATGTCAACCTGAAAGGCATCTTTGATGTCGTAAATCTGAAAGACGTCTTTCAGTTGGACATTCGACGCCTAGAAGACATCTATAAGAAATCTTCAAACAAAATGTTTGCTGGGAAGGTTTAAAAAAACGCCCAAAGTAGAAAAGTTACATTTTTGTAACTTTTCCTCGAACTTTTCGTTAAGTTTTAGTTAGTATTAGTCTGGAGCAAGCGGTCACCAGACACCATTTAATTGTCGCCAAAAATGAGCCCAAAGCCAAACAGAGAAAATGTTTAATTTTAGTTCTCAATTAGCAACGCTAGGTGGCTGCGGGGCAAGACTGGGCGACTCTGGCGCGGTGTCAAGGACTACGCTTTTATCAGCGCTGTTTCGATGACCGTCATGAATTTACATTATTAATTAAATAAAAAAGTACAGCATCAATTTAGATCGAACGCAACTCATTATAGCTTTTTTTTTTTAATTTCGCGCAATGTGTGATCAATTTTTGGTTCATAGACAGTTACTTTAAAGGTTACACATTTTTTATACATGAGCTACAAATAATTTTTCTTTACATTTAGGTGAAAAGGAGTAGTTGCGTATCATTTTCGCATCCTTTTTTAACGAAAAGTAAGTAATTAGGTACAGTTGCAATGCCTCAATATACCTATTAAATATATATATATCTTTTTTAGTTTTTTGAAGTAAACCGCCTGCACCACCGCCTAACCGTACTTACATATCCCTAGGAAGGAAACCGATTTCGTCAGTTAGAGGTCTCTGGTGCCTTTTGCGTTTGGTAAATGTAAATAAGTATCATTATTGTTAATATATATTGTTATTGCAGTGAAACGTATTTATATTTTTACACTTATGCAAGGTAACGCGTGATTACGCAAAAAATCACACAACAGCAGTATTATAATAAGATTTATTCAGTTATTCCAGGTTATCCAGCTCGGAGCGCTCTCGGAGTGTAGCCGGAGTGCCCCGAAAGTAAGTGCAGTAAGTAAATGTAATGTCACACTGAATATACACACATTTTGGGAGCACTCCGAGCGCTCCGAGTTAGATAAATGAAAAATAATAAATTGTAGTGGTGGTAGTAGGAGTACAAAGAGAAAAACCTACATACAGTCGGAAGAAACGGAGACGTCATCGCGGGGGCGGTTCGAGAGTGGACACATCGTCGAGAGAGGCGCAGCAGACTGCAGAGACGGGGACTACGGGGGGCTCAGAGTTAGAGAGAAAGGAAAGAAAGAGGAATCTTTGTACATATACGTACGTTATACTTACGTGTATGGAAGCTGGACTGCTGCAGCAAGAGTACGTCCTTCTCATCCTTATTTTAGTGTGATTGTCGCATATACAGAATATGTCTAATAACTACTCATTATTGCTCAGAGAAGAACAACAATCTTGCTTCCGTGCGGGAGAATAAAGGAGTCGCAATCGCGGTGGAGTTTGGATGCACCCACGGGCTGCTCTCGCGCGCGAGTCTGAGAGGCAAGTAAGTTGGTAAAGTACGCGTGTGGTGGTCCGGTGGTTGTTGTGTCTGCAACCAAGATCAAGTCGACATGGCATGTGCCAAAAAGAAGCAGGACGAGAAAAACCTGAAGACGTTGCGCCAGCTCGTCTCACAGCCAGGCAACAAGGAGTGCTTTGACTGCCAGCAGCGTGGACCTACTTACGTCAACATGACAATAGGTTCTTTTGTCTGTACCACTTGCTCGGGCATGCTGTGAGTACTCATACCCATACCATTTTATAATTATTCTCGTCTTTAGTAGAATATGCATGGTTTGTACTGTTAGTAGTTATAGTAGCTCCACAAACCTCTTTTTTTCTTTTTTTTTTTTTTTTCTTTTTTCTTTAATCGCTGCAAGTCACTGATGTGCTTACGTCTTTGTGGGTTACAAGACCTATATTCATTCACACTGCAGTGTTTATAAACTTTCAAGTGCTTTTTACGAGCTTTTTTTCTGTCCTTGGTCGAACAGGAAGTGACTGTTCGCCGACTCTGGTGATATTTATTCATGATTGGCTCTTTTTTTCTTCCGCATTTTCTGTTTATTGCATGCATTGTTCACGTGTCGACTAATGATCCCTGGACACTTACCAATATAAACATAAAGAACAAAGTATGTTTATGCATGCACTTCAAAGTATAAACTCTTGAAATTTGCAGGCGAGGTTTGACGCCACCGCACCGGGTCAAGTCGATTTCTATGGCGACGTTCACGCAGGAAGAGATCGATTTTTTGAAGGAGCGTGGCAACGAGTTCTGCCGTGCTATCTGGCTGGGTCTGATGCCGCAAAGTACGAGTCACAGTAACAAAGATGAACAAAAGATGAAGGACTTCATGAGCGCCAAATATGAGCTTAAGAGGTACTACTTGGATCCCGCAATGGCCAGTCAGTTGCTCAGTCAGAAGCCGTCCTCCCTGCACCACAGCAGCACGTCTAGCAAGCACAGCAGCTCGAGAAGCAACAGCTCGTCCTCGTCGAGCCTGGCTGCGGCTACGTCCACGATAGTAAAAGCACCGCCCAACAAGTCTCTGTCCTCGCCCGTCCCGCTCTCCATTAAAATTACGATCCCAACTGCAACCAAGGAAACTGAACAGTCGCACCACCAGCTTGTCAACTCGAGTATCAGCAGCAATGCGAGCTTCGTAGCCGATTTTAGCAAAGTGCCTGCCCCCGCTTCTTCACCTCTCACCATTCCGCCCTTGAACAAAGTTCCGCAGCCACAGCCCATCGTTCCGCAGCCTTCCTTTGCCAACTTTGAGAACAATCCTATCTTCGATTCATCCAAAGGTTAGTGCCGTGTAGCTTTTCTTCTTTTTTTTTTTTTTTACATCCAGGTCACAGTCGACATGGTATTGTTTTATTGTTTAGCCAATCAAACTACTCCGCTGTCGCCTGTCTCTCAAAATATCATAACAAGTACAATTGCACACACAAATGGCACGACGGCTAGCACTACTCCACTTCCTCCTTCCGAGGACAGATACGCCGCTCTGAAAGATTTGGATTCAATGATGAAGCAAGAAAACCTGAAAGATGAGCCAATTTCTAATAAAACATCATGGAATCTGAAAGATAATAATAATGGTAAAGCAATACTTCATTTCAAATCGAACTAAATCTTTAATGCATTACTAATGGTGTAAAATATTTTTCAGCTGCAAACTCTGCATGGTCTGCATTTGACCAAACTAGTTCTCCCTTTATTTTAAATCCTTTTACTAATAATAAATGGTGGCTGAATAAAGAACTCTATAGTAATAATAATAACAATAACAATAATAATAATCATCACCATCATAATGGCAACAATAATAATTTTCAACCCTTTGAAAATAACGTGTGCAATACGGCAAATCCATTTAGACAGACACAAATGCCGGTGACAAATAATGGCAAGTACAATATGTTTTACTTTAGAATAGAATTTTATGAGTTTTGACGAACCCCAAATTGATTTTCTTTCTCCTTTTTNAAAAAAACAAATCGGTGATTCGGTGTACGAAAGTAATGTAATTTCGAGACTTTTGTTTTTTCTTTTTTTTTTTTTTTTTTTTTTTTTTTATTTAGATTCATGTTGGTACAGCCGAGACACTCAGGAAAATATTACGTCTAGTCACTTATCGCCCTTATCGAACAAAACGTGGCAACCCGCTGTGACAGCATTCAGAGCCAATCCTTTTGCTGTACGTAGTCGATAACACTAAATAACTTAATTGCATACACGTGACAAATAAAATACAATAATTAATATTGTCTTTTACAGGTTGGTTCCGGCATCGAAAATACGACGCGGAATTCAAACAATCCTTTTTTGTGATCAGTTGCTTTAAGGCTTGGATAAATACGAACAAATGATAAATAATATTATCTGCACGCTGCAACGTGTGTAGATTACGAAAAAGAATTTTTATTGTACATGACTAAATATGGCAGTTAGTGCTGTTAATATTAATCTCTCTAGGAGCACCAATCTCTCTATCTTTATATCTTTTTGGTTAATACTAGTATATTATTATTTAAAAATTAATTACGCATACAATTATTAAAATTAAAAAGATTAACGATTGTTATTGTTCATTATTTTGCTGTAAGGCCGAGATAATAATGTGGCAACTATTTTTGCTGCTTGCTTGAACTTTTACCTTTTTATAGTGATTTTTTTATTGAGCCAAGAAAAATAAAACTAAACATGTTGTCTTAAGGACTGTTTAAAATAAAAAAATAATTGAATAGAAATACCTTGTTCCAGTGATACATATTCTTTCAATAAAAGTAAAAAAGATTTATTGAACAAATTGTCGATTTTTTCTTTCTACATTCAATAATCGGTAATCATTGTATGATCAGAGTTCATATTTCAGTGAATACGTACACAATTACGTAAAAAAAAAATCATGGTTGCATAGGTGCACACTTAAATACTTTATTTACTTAGAAATATTCTAATAAATACAAAATCACAAATGAACACTTAGTCTTTGTTTTAGCTTTATAACAGTAGGTTGACCATACTTGCGCAATATAATTAATTTATTCGGCTGTTACGCTCGCACAAGCTAGAATAATAGATGCATAATAATTTATTACAAAACGATGTTTCAAAAAAATGTATTCTGCCAGCGAGGTAATGCGTAAGAAAGCCACAAATAAAAATTTCCGTACCGCTTTCTAATAATCGGAAATTTTTACAGTCATTTTAATAGAAAAGTTTTAAAAACTTTACATGATCGCCTGTTAAAAATCTAGCTACCTTTCGTCACGATAATTTTTATTATGATTTATGAAAGCATCAATGAGCAACGAGTCGTTGTGAAGATGACCTTCTTACGTGTAAAGAGTACTACGAAAACAAGTTTGTTCTAAAAAACGTTCACAAAAAATTCAAAACGCTAATTATGTGGCGAGTTGGCTAGTCGTGTTAGTAATTTTTTTTTTTTCCTCTATAATATATGCGTATGCGCAATCACGGGCAAAATTATTACTTTTTTTTTTTTTTTAATAGATACAAGAGTACAAAATGCTAAAGTACTTAGAATACTAGACACAAGTATCTTTTATACAAAAGTGTCCAAACAGACATGAGCGTTATAATACTTGACTAAAAATACACTGGAACGTCGTTAAAATTAAACAACGTATCTAGATACTCAAAAAAATCCTTTAATAAACTTTATAAAAATCATGCCAAGCAAAAAATCAACCATCACTCAAAATCGTTTACGTATTATTTTACACCATAAACACAAAGCATCCATTCACATTACAATTATTTCACAAATTCAATTTTTCTCACCTCTCACCCGATAGAACCAAGATTTTATCCTGTCAATTCGAAATCTAATACGAGCCCTCCAAAAATTCGGGGCGTTCTACTAGTACAGAAACATTTCATATAATTTTTAGTCAATAAAAAACTTCGAAAATGGTGAAATACAATAAAATTATGCAATTCAAGTTTATTGAAAATTCCGTGGAGACGCATCAAGACAAAATTTAATTTGTAAACTGAAGGATTTCTAGAATAGGAATTTGAACTACGGACATCTGAAAGCGTTTTGGATGAGAGTAAAAAAAATCAATTCAAGAAATAATGGGCACTCTGTGTATAAATTTAAGATAATTGAAATTATCACTTATAAAAGACACCTTTGATTTACCTAGATACGCATGTAGACACTAGCCCATGACTGTTGACCCGCAGAAAAGAGAGACAATAACGACCTGCATTTTAGGCGACAATAATACGCGCACGCACGACTCGATGTGATATTATATAGGGATAATGTATGAGATGAGGATTAGGGTAATCGAGAAGGCGGTCGCGAGTTATAGGCAATTTTTAAAAAATCTTCTTTACGAAACGCGTATTAACTAAGCGTGTTGGACGATTACTCATTGTCATTTATATAGAGCCAGCAAGGAGGCACGCGACACGCGCGAATTTTTTTAGCATCCATTGCTGCTTGGATTTCCGGCTTTTGGCAAAGGTCGCACCAAGTACAGTTTCTCGCCTTGCTTGTTTGTATAGATGGGTGCTCGCTGATAATGATCAACTAGCTGGTCAAGTGTGTGAAACTTTCTTTGACCAATGCAGTAAAGGGCTCCTTCCACGTGCACCCTGAAATGCTTATTACGTCCTGGTGCCTTCAATGAGACCGAATAATCTCCCATCTAGAAAAACAATTTTTTTTAATAAAAACTGTCTCATTTTACCACATTTGTTACATTAATTGTTACTCAACACCGTGAGTATATACTACATTCAAACGAAGAAATTTGACTTCATTAAAAAATTACACTTGCAAAAACTTTCAACAGATCATGCACACACATATTAAAAGTAAAGCTTAGAAACAGAAAAAACGAAAGACTAAACTCACGTTGGTTTCACTATCTCGTATCAAAAAATCGCCATCATGTCCGTGTTGATTTAAAAGGGTATCACATTGCGAGCGTGTGATGCTTCCGTAGTACCATGGCTTTCCCATAAGATGTGGTCTGTCTGCTCCCGGATTGGCAGCACCAGCTACCGAATTTGCATTATTGTTGCTACTACCGCCTCCTCCGCTACCGCCTCCACCGCCACCGCCACCGCCACCTCCACTACCGGCACTACCACCACTGACGTTCAAACGATCGCGGTAAGCCTGCGTCAGATACTCGCTCAACTCCTGGAGGTAGTTCCTCGGCACTAGGCCCACCTGTCCTTGGCCGTTCCTGGCCTTGTACCACTCGGGATCAGCGGGTGGACGGTCGAGGATCTCGAGGCGATCGCCCTTCTCGAACGACAGCTCCTGATCGTTGTTCGACGAGAACGAGTACAGGGCAACAACGATATCGAGCACGTTCTCGGCCATTGCGTAGGTGTGCAGCGTGTCCTCGGCATCGCCCTCTTCTTGGGTATAATTGGATGGGAACCACCCGGCTTGGGTGCCACTTTGCCCCCGCCACCAGCCATCGTTGCTCTTCTCGAGGATGAGAATCCGCGTGCCTTTGACCAGTGACAGCTCGTCGGGCTGTTGGGCTTGGTAGTTGTATTTGACAACGGCCGTGCCGATGGCCTCGCTCGGGTCGGCTGGCATGCGCCTCGGCATTATCGGGGACTCGACGACACGCGACGGCGAGTTACTGGACGGCAGTGTTTTCGAACCCGAGCCTTTTTTCACCTTCTTCTTGATGCTATCGAACAGCGAGGGTTTTTCCTTTTTCACGTAGTTGCTCGGCACGTAACCCGCCTGGCCACGCGAGCTCTGCACCCGCCACCAATGCTTCGAATCGTCCAGCAGCAGGTATCGCTCATTTTTGCGCAAGTCCAGCTCTTGAGCACCTTGTGCCTCGTAATCGTATTTTGCGACAACGTAACACACGTCGTCTTGGTTTGTTTTGCCTGTTAAATGAAATATGCACAGTTTATATTATTATTTCACATGACCAGGAAAATTACGCTGTGCCGATGTATTTCTCTTTTAAAATCTAAATTTTTCAAACGACTTTTACAACATACAAGTGAAATTTAAAGAATATCATCTACTGTTTAACAATACTATAACAAAAAAAAATTAAAATTAAGCACCAAACAAACAATGATCTGATGAAATAAAAAATATCTAATTACTATACAAGAAAACAACGTACCATGCTTCATGGCTGCCATGTGCAAACACAAGATGATGATTGTAGTAATGTATTTTTTTTAATAGTAGAATAACGACAGTGTGATATATACTCTGCCTCTATTCTGCAGTTATCACTTGTGTGAATGAAAAATTTTTATGACGTAAGTCAATGGTGTTTATGTGCCAGACATTCATTCTTTAGTTTATTGACTCTTTTTTTTTTTTGCTTTTAATGTCTGAGTACCTTCCAGTTCCTCGACTTGAAGTCTGTTGTTTGTTGGGGTACAGCAAGTGCGTGCATAATAAACTCTTTAAAATGAAAGGAAATGAAAGAAAAAATTAATTATTTAATATTTACATCAAATTTTGTAAAGACATGTGTAATAATAAGTTTTAATGTATGAAGAGAGTAAAAAGTTTTTGAATACCATACAATTAAGTTTAGTTAAAATTAAGTATCAAAGTTAATCAAATTATTTAAAAACTTTGTAATTAAATTATACATATTCATCCAACTTTGGCAGCTGTTTCGTTATTTTTTGAAAAATAAATACAAAAATATTAAGCTCTCTGTGTAATGCTTTTAGCAATTGAAGAGGAAAGTTATTAACAAAACAAATAATGTCAGGGAAAACGAATCAAATATTAATAAATAAGCATAGTAAGCCTCATTCAAGTACACTATATACATGTATCTAAAAGCTTCAATTAAAAACTTTATTAAGATGCATCAGTAATACTGGTACATTTCTATCATTCTAAAAAGCAAACTAGAAAACTGATCTGTGGACATACACATACTTAAAAGTAATAAGATTCTCTGCATCGCACTAAGAGACAAATGCCACTGTCAGTGCAATGCCTTTTTGTCAAATTTATTTACCACACAGATTTACTAGTCCTATAAGATTCTTTACGAGAGGACAAACGAGGAGAGGGCAAAAAAAAAATACGAAACACAGCACAGTAAGATCGAACAAAACGAAAAAAAAATTTAACAAGTGTAAATAAAGGTAAGTAGGCAGCTAACAAAAAAAAAGGTTGAGATGTGAAAGGCTATCTGATAAAAAAGTCCATCTTTACCGATCTTTAAACTCGACATATTCCCTCATGTGCAGCTCGTAGGAGGACAGCTAGGCTCCGGTTACGTCGTGTCCCGGATTGGTAATCCGCTTGACGAGCGATGTTACACTTCTTGGTGGCTTGGAGTTACAACGACAAACAAGAAGAGCGGCTCCGTCGACTGCAGCAGCCATGAACGTATCTATACTTGCAATATATACTTATATTCTGTTGGCAACCTCGGGCCCATGCTGGACAACTCTTTACTTTTGCTCGGTTGCTCTCTCATGAAGCTTGCTTAGTGAGACTGCCACTGGTGAATCTATATATCAGTAAAATTCCATGGAATTGATGCTTGTCCTGCAGGTGCTGATAAAGCCATATGAGCCCTGTGGACGTATGGATATAGATGTATATTTATCGATAGCCTAATGCAGTAAGTATTGCGTATGGGGACACATATAAAATATACAACGACCAGCCCAACGATATGGCAACAGTAACGATTTATTATGCGCGTAGAGTACTTATGTACTTGTACACAGATGCACTGTAACAAAACTCTTTTGCTGACTAAGTCTTGGGCACGATAACTCAGAGGGGGTCGCGTCGCGGTGCGGGGACACAGGACAGCTAGACACTAGACATCACCCGTCTCGTTGTCTCCCAATACACTCCGTGTACTTAGTCTAGTCTTCTAGATGAGAGAGTCATGAGAGACGAAAAACGAAAAGGCACACACGCATATATATATATATATATATATATATATATATATATTTAGCATGAAGCTGAAGCATGAGTAATAAAATATATATTATATATACCTATGCAACAACACTGAAGCACGAGCCGCACAATTGTAAGAGTATATATCAGCCAAGAACTTGAGTAAGTGGTATAGGTATACTGCTCAAGGATCAAGGATTCATTTAAGGGAGGCACCCTGTTATTCTGTCAACTCTTTTTATGCGCTACTTATAAGTACCCTTCTCGCAGCTTGAACCCGAGAAGTTTGGAAGGATATACACCTCTATAATAAGTATGGGAGTGTAATATATATATAAAATGGGGATTGGGGAGAGGTTCGCGGCTGCTCTGCTGATGCTCTCACTCACCATGCACGCACGCAGGCACATCAGCTCGTGTGTATAATATATATATATATACCTATGTATATACGGGAGAGACACCACAGTTCGTCGTACTCCGAAAATCCGATCGATTTTTCGGAGCAAAAGTTTAACTGGAGGTCAATTTGTTGAGCCAGATGCCCTTTGCCGACTCTTTTTAGTACATATAAGTAATCATGTATATGACAGTTTTTTTACCCTAAATATACGGTGTAAAGTATAATTCAGTTATATATATAATATATATACATATATGTGACAATAAACAACGGAGAGAGAGCATTTTATAAAACAGCGCACACTTCTGGACTTCTGGAGCTCACGCCCCAAAAAAGCGGAGATTTCTTACTTATTACCCCGCGATAACGCACCGGCTCTCGGTTCACGCAAGCGATCAAATAATTATTTTGATCCTCTTTTGCTCTGACATTATCACACTCGATTGCATTTTTTTTACGCCCGAGACTCTTAGCTCGAGCTCGTTAGTGTTGCGGATGGTTTTATGAATAATTTAAATTTTATACTTTATAAAAACACTCGATTGCATCAGGAGCACAAGAGAGCGGACTATACAATACGCGAACACCCCCGCACAGGGGTGCAAAGCTCGGGCAGACATGTTTAGGAGAGCGTGTGTGGGGTTGTATTGGATCCGTAATAATAACAGATTTCTCTTGACTATTGCGAAAAAGAGCTTATCAATGCAATCGAAACTTTTTAAAACCAGCAAAATGATTCCAATTCATCGTTGTTTTTTTTTTTTTTTTTTTCTTTTTTTTTCTTTTTTTTTCTTTTTTCAATTCACGAGAGTCAAATTTAATTAATACTCAACAACCTCTTTTATTAAAACTGACTTTTGAATGATTTCAAAACATTTTTCGAACTGGATAATGGAAAGTGTCCAATAAATAACTACATGAAAAATTTACCGATTTTATACGATAAAATTATCTGTCAACTTTTGGTCGATTTTTTGCCATCTGTACGGTAGAACGTAGTTCTTGTGTTTTAAGTATGTTTAATATTTGGATCGTTTAGAAAAAGAGGTTCATTTTGTAACATTATTGTGTTTTACGTAGTTTTCAAAGTGCAAAAACCGACTAGAAACCAACAAAGAAATTTTAATTATATTTTATTGGACAATTTCAGTTGGGAAAAGCAGAGGAACGGCATTTATTAGTAAAATCGAAAAATTGGCTAAAAAATTTGATAAATAACGGTATTCCAACGAAATACAAAAAATTCGAACGTTTTATTTTTATCTGCCCACAGGTGCAAAACAAATCAACAAAAGAAAAAAAATCCCACCATACATCTCCATCTCTTCTGCAACAGTATTTACCATTTGCTGATCGAGTCATCTGAGAACAACCGACCGCACCATAACTGTTGCATCACACCCCATTCCGTTTAAAAATACAAAAGCAGAGAAACTCGCCATCGAGCACCAAAAGGATGCGCTGACATGTGAAATAATTGGAATTTTTTTTTACACCAAGGTTGAGTGACTGAACCACTAAAGGTGAAGAAAAAAAAACGCTTATGTAATAAATATTCTGCGAGATATTCTGGACGAAAATAATTGATCATTTAATGAATGAATAAGAATTTTTACAACTAATCAACTTCTATATACACATAAATACATTGTACGACTTTAGAAATTTGTGCTAATCGTCTGTCTTTAAAGTCAATTTTCATGTGCCAAAAACTAGTAAAAAAATGTTGACGTACTTAAACAAAAAAAATTCAAAACGTTTTTTTCAAACATCATCTGTTTTAAGTAAACGATCTATTTATTTTTTGGATGAAATTGAAGTATTGCTTTGTAAAAATTTTCAGTTTCATTTTTTAATCTTGTGCTGGCAACGACATGCAAATCTTTTTTGCGCTACCAGTATGTATAGCATTAATATAAAGTTTAGTTGTAAGAAAATCTTCGTAAAAATAATCAAATTACTACTTGTTTTACGCACTATACTCCGAAGGAATTGCGTTATTGGTAACAAATTAATTAGGTATATCTGTTTAGATGTTTTCGAAATTTCAACTTTCGTGAGGCATGTACTTATGACGGATTATACTCAAGAAATTCTGTTTTTATCAAGTCATTAACTGAAGAATTCGGAAGAATTGTAACTCGCCTTCAATTTGAAATTATAACATTCGTTGGAAAAGACAGTCACCATGTTAACATTTTTTCACACATACAATGATATTATATACATACATGTATGAAGTCTACATATATATACATGTATTTATTATTACATACATCGAAAAAATGTTGATTTGGTGTCTGTTTTCTTCAAGAGCGCAAGTTCTTTCCAGTTAACGACTTGATAAAAATGAAATTTTCCGAGTATAATGCACCATGCATGACTAACTCACGAAAGTCCAAATTTCGAGAATATCTAAATGGACACATACCTTATCTATTATTGACACGTGTCGCTTCGAAAATTTCACTTATCTTCAATTAGACGATGATGACTTGTTGTACTGGGATACTTTGTTTATCGAGTCGTTGACCATAAAAAAGTCGAAATTAGGTTTCTATTCAAAATTATAACTTTTCTTTAAAAAACATCCATTTTAAAAAAATTTGTAGTACTAAAAATTAAATCGCCAGTAAAAGTGAAAAATCGCAATTTTGAGGATAAATTACCGCACCTGGTTATTCTAAAGCACCGATGCATCATTTACATATCAAGGAAACAATAAGCGTCTTTTTTTCTGTTTTATTGGCTTTAAAAGTCATTTAGGCAGCCATAGCTGTTTGTTTAAATAAAATAAACAATTATCCGCTCTTGCTACGCTTAATGCCATTAGCTTATCAGAAGCCCTCGTACTATGAATTACAATTAGTACATACTAAAGTACATATAGTTTCTCTTTTTCTTTTGGCTTAAGTATCTTGGCTTACGGATTCGGCTCTCCTTTAACATCCAATTCCCCCTCCCGTTGACTAATAATCGGCTTGGGCGGTCTGCGCTTGAGCCAATCACAGAGCTAGACTAAAAAGAAAGTGGCCAATCACGGAGCTGGACTAAAGATAAAGTGGCCAATCACGGAGCTGGACTAAAGAGAAAGTGGCCAATCACGGAGCTGTGATTGGCTGATTATTCAGTCCTCCGCATGCGGCGGTTGACCCGCTGCGGCGGTTATGGAAATCCATCAGGTAGGGGTACTTTTGGAGTAGCAGTGCCTATAAATACGCAATCAGGGCACGGTTTGAGCAGTAGATCTTTGAATTTCAAAGCATCTCAAGCTCTGGAGTAGCTAGTATACTTCGTAGCCTAGAGTAGGTATAGCCTTCCAAGCGAAGCCATCTCGTTGATTCGTTGAGCCGTTCCGACTGTTTTGGCGGTAATCCTTTCGAAAGTGCATTTCGATTGTTCATCGTAGTGAAAACTCTGTTATTTTCAAAAAAGTACGTAAACAGTATACGTTTGGTTTCCCTGTACTTCGGTAAACTTTTGCCGAGGCACGCGTATCTTGTGGCAATTTGTTTATTCAAGTTGTTGGATGTTTGCTTTACTTTTTTTGCTTATGTTGTTTCCAGTGCCGTCGAAAAGAAAAGTGACCAACAACTCCAACAAGCGAAAATCTCCGGATTCGCAAGACAACGCGGCCATGCCCTTGAAACGGGCAAAAACCTCCAGAAAGAAGCCTGAAGTATTCCCAAATGAAGGTATGTGGTTGTTCGTTTTGCAAATTTCCAAGCACATCTTTCTCTGGTTCAACGGGGATGCGGTCTTCCGTGTTTCCACACAGCTTTCTATGTTTGAATTAATCGACGACGCGCAAGAATTTAGTGTTCTCCATTTAATGGTAATTTACATTTTTTAGTGCCGCTAAAAATAGAAGTTACCAACAATTCCAACAAGCGCAAATCTCCAGATTCGCAAGACAACGCGGCTGTGCCCTTGAAACGGGCTAAAACTTCCAGAAAGATGCCAAAAGTACTCCAGAATAATGNACACGGTCGTTGCAACATTCGTGTAATCCATTGGCTCTACAGAATTGCCAAACAATCTTTTGGCTAAAAGTTTTCCGGCATTGATTGCTACTGGAGTCAACTCTGGTTTTTTCTACAACAGTAAGACCCAATTCAAGCATGATACATGTAAAGCTTTACGAAATTATTTTTTTTTTTGAAATATACTCACGTGCAACACATCACCAACTGCATAAATGTGAGGTACATTAGTTTGTTCATTATTGGCATCGATTTTGCTATTCTCAGGAATTACATCAACGCCAGCGTTCTCTAATTTTAAATCTTGCGTAAGAGCTTTGCGACCAATGGCAAACAACACTGTGTCAAATGTATCCTTGTGGAGTTTTCCATCCTGTAAAAATAGTTGTACAGTTACTATTACTTGTTAAAATTTTTTTGAATCAAGGATTATTATATAAAAAGTTTCAATTTACCTTGTCCCACTGAACAAGAATTTTGCCGTCATCTTGTTTTATCAAGGCTTTGGGTTTGGCTTGATAAATAAAATGAACTCCACGATACTCCATCTCTTCTGCAACAGTATTTGCCATTTGCTGATCAAAACCTCTGAGAACAACCGACCGCACCATAACTGTTGCATCACACCCCATTCCGTTTAAAAATCCAGCACACTCTAATCCAATGTCTACGAATTACGATTATAGTTTAGGAGAATAATGTTTAAACAATAAACGTTACTCCGTTGTTAAAACTTTGTTTGAAAAAGGATACATCCTGCACCAATAACGAGAGTTTTGCCTGGTGGATGGGATAAACTAAAAATATCGTCGCTAGTGATGCCATGCTCTGCACCAGGAATATCTGGGTAGTTTGGTCTACCACCGACCGCAATTAATACGTTCTTCGCAGTTACAACTTTTTTATCTCCATTTTTCATTTCACCAACCAGGGTGTGCGGATCTTTGAAATAGCCAAGTGCATTAATATATTCAACATTTCTGAAATAAATAAATACAAATGTATTAAAACCGTTTTGTTGATTTAAAAATATTTGATCGGGCAAATTTATTTTTGAACATTTACTTATTCCTAAGTTCTACTCTAGTAACCCAGTTGACTGATTTCACATGATTCTGCACAGCAGTTGTTAAAGCTGTCCAGTCAATGGTAATCGATTGGGGTTCAGGTACTTTCCAACCAAAAGCAACAGCCTCCTAAAAAGTTGACATGACGGTCATAATGTACAAAAAAACAATGCGTACTTAAACTATAGTGATCCATATAAAAAAAATACATGTGCTCACATGTATAGCTTCTCCAAGCAAAGCAGCTTGATGCATCAATTTTTTAGGTATACAGCCCACATTAACACAGGTACCACCAAGACCCCATTTCGTTCCTTTTGGGGATGGTGTGACATAGTCAAAGACCGCAACTTTTGCTCCAAGCTCAGTTGCCTGTTTGGCTGCTGCCAATCCTCCAGAGCCTCCTCCTAGCACTACCAAATCATACATGTACTGTTCTTCTGCAAAAAACAATCGAAATTTTTAGAATGACTTGCAATGTTACTTTAGACCAATATTTAAGAGGCTTTTTAAAAAATATTTTTTAGGTATAACTACACATTAAACGCAAATAATGGTTAAAAAAAATTACAATACAAAGGAATCAGATAATAGTTAACGATTATAGTGTAGTTATTATTATACATTATTATAAGTTCAACTATACTCTAAAATGTACACTTTTTTTCTAGCAGCAGTAGGTACAGTCAATGAAAAAAAAGGAAAAAATAAGTAAGGAAATCGATATCAATCGCTATGATGCGAAATTTATAAACAAGTACGAACGGTATGATTTCTTCTCAACATGTAAGGCGCCCGTGGCGAAGATAACTTTGGCAAAGCGACGTAACATAATTTTCGAGGACAGTGACGTGGATTATAAAATCGCCTGATGCTGCTCACGAAGATGATGCGGTAGCGCAACATTTAGCAACAATGTCATTATAACTATTAACAGAACAGATGTACAGCACAGTGCCGGTAATAATAAGTAACAGACATTATAAGTGTATAAGCTTTGCTCAGTCTTAGAAAAACACTATGATAATAAAAAAACGATAGACCACGATACGGACAAAACCTGAGAGAGAGAGAGAGAGAGCAATCATCAGCAGCGCTCCAGGAGATTTTTATGTAACGTCAAATAAGTAACCCGTTCCATAACATATACCTTCCTATGATAGGTGTACTTTACCGGTATGAAACGAACTAAGAAAATCAATAAATACTTATGTGAACAGTGGTGAAACGATTGAAAAATATCTCGGCTACAAAATCGGAGCAATCCGCAAAGATTGCAAAACAATCAACGTAGGTATATAACTGAGATATACTTTGAAAAAAAAAAAAAAAAAAAAAAAAAAAGAGAGAGAGCACTCACTACTTGTGGAGTAGAACAGGCACATAACCTGGTGCCTGCAACTTTCACTACGAATTAGTAGACTGGAAGACCGGCTGCTGGTCGCCAGGAAGAGTCTCGGCAGCAGCCTGAACGTCGCCATGATAGCGACGATCGGCTGCTAATGCAACTGTACACGCGAATCACGCAGTATGATCCACACTTTTTTGTAACTACAATTACACTTGCGGAGGCTTGCGTAGAGTTGCAAGATACCTACACTATACGTCACCTACTTACTCCACTCTATGTTATTGTGGCTATATTATATCACGTCACCCTCACCTCGCGGAGTGCACGCACATATGTATGGAACGCTATATACGTGTATTAAAAAATCCACGCGCACATTTATCCGCGGCATCAGACTCCAAGGCAAAGGCTCTGACAGCGCCTCGATTCATATCCCAAGTAATTACATCCTCACCTTACATGCAAGTTACTCTTGCTATCCTTCACAATTAGATTCTTTATAAAGTTGTACCCAGTATTGTAAGTAGGTGAAAAAACAGTAGGTATTTAGGTGAAATATGCGATCAATCCTAATAACCGGGTGCAACCGAGGCCTGGGCCTCGGCCTGGTGAAACACCTTGCCCGAGCGCGCCAACCACCGGAGAAGATATTCGCCACCTGCCGGAACATTGCCAAGGCCACGGTAAATATGCATTATTTCATTATGTATTTTAACGATCGAAAGATTCAAGTATAGGTACCCATGCACTTGCATTACTTTTTTGACTGCCTGGCCGTGCATTTTCACGCGAACCGAAACTATTTTATTGTTGTATAGGTACGTCCATCTGTAACGTATATATCTTCGATAACCAACGAGATTACGGGATTCAACGTATAAGAAGCAAATCGGAGTCACGAATTGTTATACCTATTTACACTTTTTAAATATTAACCTAAGAAGACGAAAGGAGAGTGAAAAAGACAACTCACCGATGGGCGGCATTGCTCGTTCTGTCAAAGATTCTTGCTCAACTGAATTAAATTCTTTACAGTTTCTCGCGACACTTTATTCACAGTGTAGAGTGTAGGTATTTATATGAACAGTATAATTAAAGTCGATCTAGGAGTAATGTATTGCACTGAGAGAGAGAAAAGGTTTTAAAGGCACGATCGATCGTTAGAGCGTGACGGTCGAGTATCGACTGGGGGAGTGGCGCCACCGCCACGTTAAACGTTATACGCGTACATATAAAAACGGAGCCTTTTTAGAGGTGCGGGGGGAAGAGGGTTAGAGGGGCGACGTGAGAGTAGGGAATACGACCACGAACTCTCATCAGCGAGGACAGCAACAGCAAGTGGAGCCCCAATTGTATAGTTTTCAATGTCTTTTAGGAAATAAAATGTAATGATGTTGAATGAATTATTGTAAAGTTTCAGACTGTTGCACGATTTACCGACACCTTGCCGACACGCGGCGATCGATAATAAATCGCGATGACAAGCATTATTTTTCATAGATCTTTCTGGTACTTTTCACAGGTGATGGTGTGCTTAATGTGTAATGTAATTTTATCATCCAATATCAAGGTGGTAAATATTTACTAGGATTAATATTTCATTTTTTTTTCACTTGGTCTCACTCAATTCTAAAAAGTTACTTGTGGATTTATCATTATTAACACTACCTATTGTTCTCTATAACTTGGACCAATAAAACTCTGCAAATTAAAATGAACCGGATAGCTATACAATAGTAACCCCTCTCACATCTTTAAATTCTAAAATTGTTGTAATTATGCCATAAATAAGGATGTAGGGTTTGAAACAAATATAGATTATCTTTCCATTGAAAAAACATGAGGTCACGACGGTAATCATCACTACGCAGATGACGTCACGATTTTAATACAAAAATACTTTGGAATTATTTAATGACGTAAGTTGTATACGTTCGAGCGAGCAAATGAAATTGAAAGCAAATCCAAAGAGGTACAGCACGATGATATATATATATATATNTAAGCGTAGCGATGTGTATATATATATATATATATATATATATATATATATATATATATATATATATATGAATGACAGGAATATAATGATGATTTGTAATCTTTTTCTAGGAATCTAGCACACACAATACTTACGCAGGGGATTTTCAATTAGCTCTCCCGATTGAATCTTTGATTGTGCTTCGCTTACTGGATCAAAATTTTCTTCGGCGCTTAACTCCGTTGTTCCCGTCTCTCGTTCTAACAGCTCGTCTTCTTCTACCTTTGTTTCTGGCATTTCGTTTGGCTCCTCGATTTCATCTGCACTTGGCTCATCATCACTTTGTTCCTTATTTTCATCCATACTTGATAAACTTTCTTTTATGCCGTTTAGTTCGGGTGCTGTGGTTTTTTTTTCATTTAATCCTGACTCCAACATCAGCTTGTTCGTATCTTCAGAGGATGAATTTTGCGCTTGAGTCTCATCTTTTCCTTCGGCTGTTGCGAAGCGATCATATCATTTTGTTAAAACTCGCTACACCAAATTAAAGTCAATGCATGTATCGATGTGAATACATTAGATTTTTAATGTGTATGCATGATGGGCAATTTTAGTTGTAAATTGAAAAATCTGGATGTTTACGAAAAAAAAAACATCTTTACGCATACTTACACGAACAGACACAGTTAATTTTGTTTGGAGTAATCATATTTTTTTCTTTTAAAAATTTATTTTTCACGTTACAGGAGTTTGTATGTTTGTTGACTGAAATTACTGGCTTGATGACACATCAAAATTTTTTGGTTATGATAAAGAAAAAAAAAAAAACACAATCAATAAACAATGTTTCTTCAATAAATTTAACGAAGGATAATAATTAGAGTTATATTAAAATGTATCGGTGTCACTGAGTCACAAGATTGATATTAAAGTATAGTAGAGTAGTAATTGAGAAATAATAAAAATTGTAAAGATCAATGTTTTTTAAATTGAAACAACGCTATTATGATAGTGAATAGATTTAACGCCAAACACTTTTCAGGGTCATAATTAATTTTAATTCAACTCTATTCTACGCGTATAATTGCTGTGTACATTTTTTTCGTTCGAAATTAAAAAAATTATGATTATTTTAATCGTTCCAACTCGTGAAGACAATTTCAATTTTATAATTAATTAGTATGCAACAAAAAATCGGTTAATTACATAGCATCTCGTGTAAAAGTTTTCAAGGGTAAAATTGAGTTACGATATCAGGACTGATCATCGAATAATTATTTTTATATCATCGTAAAAAAATGTTGCCGATAACTTAATTAGAAATGAGCAACGAAGCTATAAGTAGCACTGTAAAACTATATGAATACATAACTCGATTAAACCAACGGTAAAACAAGATAAAGCTTAATCTTCGTAACAGCAATATAAATATATTATATCATCAGCCTGTGCTTTTATCATAAGTACTGTTACATCGACTTACGATTTATTTCTAATGTTCTGTTAATCGATTTCCCCTGGCCAGAGTTTGAATTCAATGTCGCTGACTTGCTGCCGCAAAAACCCATTTTTTTGTATGCATTCTATTTGAAAAAAAGGATACATATTTATTAACTCTAAAAAAAACTTAATCAACATTTACACTGTCAACTGTATTCGTTGTATATCAGATTATGTAGAGTGAAAATGCATTTTACTGACTCATTTTATTATTTTTTTTCAGAACAATCGATAAGTGCGATAAGAGATTTACTTGCTTTTTATTATTTATCCTGTCGATGAAAACTTTTTCTCCACTTACACTTTGTTAAGTTGATGGTAAATAATAAAGTACCATTCACTTGTAGCCGATGAACCAAGTAATAAATGACATCGCACGCTTTGATAACGTTACATTATTTGAACTGTTTACTGCAAAAATTACTTGTATAGAAACAAAAGCCCGTAAATCCAGAAAAAAAGCTTGTATATACCTGCAAGGTGTGAAAGAAAAATGTCGTGCGTAAGTTCCATCGACGACTGTATACTTAGCTCGTGTCATCGATCGCTTCGTGCGTTGCCTCCTGTAAATTTTATGTATCTTGGGCTAGCTAACATCGATGCTTACGTTATTGATCCTTTTTTTTTTTCTTTCTTCCTGCCTTGACATAGATTCCTTCGTTTTCATTTCACTCAAGGTGCGGCGATACGCTACTTAACGTTTTATTTTATTTTATTTAAGGAACTGACCGATCTCGCCAAGGAAACAAAAAACATCGAGATCATTGAAATCGGTAAGCATATTATTGTCGATCCTGTGACATTGAAAAGAACAAATTCAAAGAGTACATGTGGTTTCGTAGATTTAACAAACACAGCTGAATACCCTGGCCTAGTGAAGAGAGTCAAAGATAGCGTGGGTGACGCCGGTCTCAACGTGTTGTTCAACAATGCCGGGACTTCGAACAAATTCACCAGGCTTTCTTTCGTGAAGGAAGAACAGCTCATCGATTCCCTGAGGATCAACACCGTAGCTCCCATTCTTTTGGCCAAAGTTAGTAAGCTCAGTTAAATTAAATTGTATACCAAACGTGTCAACGAATAACGATTGATCCATGAAGATTCTTTCAAGGCTTTCTTGCCTCTGCTGAAACAAGCGGCAGCTCATCCCCCAAATCAAGTTGGAATGAGCGTGTCGAGGGCTGCCGTCATAAACATGTCCTCGATACTTGGAAGCATAGAAAACAACGACATTGGCGGATTTTACCCGTACCGTTGCAGCAAAGTAGGTTTTCATGATTTTTTAATATGCTTGAATATCAACAAGTAGCTTAATTATTTTCCATTAAACACGATCTTACAACTTTTTTTTTCGACGGTTTGTCTTTTTTGCGTCTGGTTTCTAGAAAAAATTAGCGATAACTTGGGCAAAGCGTGAAATTTTCAACGTTGATTTTCTTTGAAGCTCGATAATAAATACATTGGAATTTTTTTCTTTCAGCAAACATATTAAACATGTTAATTTTATATTATTATATTTATACGCGGGTACACACTTTTTGCTCTCCGAAAATTTTAAGGCACTTATGTATAGCAAGCGTGCCCGATGCTAATAAAATTTATTCCTTTTCAACTTTTAGGCTGCTCTCAATGCCGCGACCAAATCAATGAGCTTGGATTTAAAAGACGACAATATTTTATGTGTGGCTTTGCATCCTGGCTGGGTAAAAACGGCAATGGGAGGCCCAAACGCTCCAATGGATGTTGAAACGTGTATCAACAATGTGTTGAGTACTATAAGGTCGCTCACGGAAAAAAATATAGGAGCATTTTTACAGTTTGATGGTAAAATGTTACCTTGGTAAAACTTTATTGTTTTCTAGTTTTTATGTAAATAAAAATTTTGTACCATAATGCTGTATAATTTCATTTTTCGAGTAAAATATTTTTAAAATATCTAGTCCTGGGTACTCTTAATAACAACAAAAACAGAATGAAAGTCGTAACATTAGTTTTCTTACTAAATCTATAACAAATTTCTAGATTGAGTAACAATACTATTGATAAAACTTTGGACTTTCATGCCATCTTCGATTGACATTTCATTACTTGTACTTGTTAAACATTATTTATTTAGACCTCTATTTAATTAATTTTTTTTTTTTTTATCTATCTCCTGGTTACTCTTTAGGTGAGTAAATTTTTATTAGACACTACATTTCCAACATGAAATGCATCAAAAAACTACTGCTATAAATTATTATATAAAGTATATACAATTTCTAAGTACTTGATATGTACTTTGGATAGCTTATTTAAATTGAATGTTGCACATTATTACAAAAATAAAAATAAAAATTTCAAAATAAGCTATGGCATTGGTACATGAATAAAAAAATTGTGATCAATCACTCAAGCCGTAAATAAACAAAAATTTCAATTTACAATCAAATGCGCTTTTACTTACTTGAGCATGATTAAATACTTCTTGAGAGACCACAATCTAGTTTACAATATACTTTAAATACCACTAAATGCAACAGTAGTTCAAAGATAATGAATTACTCTCATTTTTCTTTATACTCAATTTGCACCACATTCATTTCACAAAAGGTCAATAAGTTCTTGTCCAAGAAATTTTTCCTGGCAACTTTCACTTAAACAATATGTACATCCACATGCATTGTAGCCGTATAAGATGCATACTTTAGTCAGTCTTTAACCTCTTGGGTGCAGGTTCACTGTTTTGTGAATTAGAATCTTCCGAAAATCCTAAATGCGTTGAAAAATCTGTCAATCCCTGAGAATCACTTACAGTTGAGAAACCTGTAAAAAGTTATTTATAAAATAAAATTTTTAAATCATTTAAAACACATTTAGATACCATACAAATCATTCATGCTTACATGTATTGGAGTCTTCAGTAATTCCAAAATTAGAGTTGGAAGAATCTACGGCCACCTTTCTGGCTAGGCCATTTTCTTTTTCAGTAGGTACTGGAGCGGATTTCAATTTCTTTTTCTAAAAATAGGTCAAGTCTAATTTATTCCGAATAATGACCAAAGAGTTACCAAAATTGAATAAGAGTAAACTTGATGGGATTTTCAGAATAGCTGAATACTACTCACTTGATCTAGTGTCGATATGGGAACCCACTTGTAGATTTTCATCGTCGTTTCGCCGATCGTGACCCATTTTTTCTCCCTTAAACAAACAACGTTACAATCTGTGAGTCCATGTCTTTGAAATCCAATGGAAACCCAAGAACCCCTTGTTATACTACTTCTGTGATGAAAAAACAAACAAATGTACTTTAACTGTGCACAGATGCCAAACAACTCACCAATGGCGAACTTTATCAACAACTTGCATAACCCGCTTGATGTCATCTTTCGCTCTGCTTCGTGTTTCCGCTCGCACTGACCGCGACATCATAATATGTTTATCTTCACACCCACTCGACAAAATAACTCTCACGCGCGCTTGTATACTCACAGCAGCATTCGAGACAAGTACTTACTTGATTATAGATTGTTAAGGAAATACACGAAAAATTGTACTTATAGGCCAAAATTATATTCGCACATCGGGCTCAGCATTTTGACTCGATCGAAAGGGTCGGTTCGCATGAACAACATGGCGGCCACATGCTGCGGTGGCGCGTGTAGTGGTGGTTTGTAGGTTTGTTTCTTCTTCTTTCCCGTAAAATTTGAAAAGTGTTGATTTGGAATGGTTTTCTAAGGAAGGGAGGGACCATTTGATTTTTCATGAAAAAATTTTGAGAAACAATTTTCTTTCAATATATAGCTTACGACAAAATGTTTAATACATTTTCAGGAATATACATATGTATGTGGGTCATTTTACAAAAACTGCGATATTTTCACGCCCCAATTGAGATTTTTTAAATTATTTTTTCCAAGTTATATAATGTCCAAAGTAGTTGGAAACTTTCGGACCGGACTCTGCGATCATTTATTAAAAACACCCATGTTAATTTAAATGCATTTTTTAAGGAATTCAAAAAGACCGTTACGGTAATGACAGACTTGTTATTACCGTATAGCGGTACTTTTTTTGCGATTGTGAAGCCCTAAAATGGAATTTTTCAATGAAATTTCGTTTGTCACATCTGCACTCCTATACTTATTTGCAGCAGGAATGGGTAAATGTATGATTCTCCTAGTTTTACACCGTAATTTTTCTTAAACTGTATGAAATTGTATGAAACGTCGAAAACGGAATTTTTAACTTACAATCCTAGGAAAATATAGAAATGGACCCTCAAAGGTTTGCAACTTAAATTTTTTTTAATTTTATGGGACAAACATAATTACAATTTACTTATTTATTCAGGAAAAAAATCATTGATGAAGCATTGGCAACTTTTTTGTTGTTGTTGTAATATACCATTTGTAAATATTGAATCAGAGTATTTTTTAAATTTGTGCTGTAAATTGTAGCCAAATAAAAACAAACAATTCAAATGTTTAAGGGCTACGAGTTCGATACAATTTCATACACGTCATAAACTGTAAGAAAGTTCAAAAGTTTTCGACAGTTTCATACAGACTTTTATACACGTATGAAATTACATTTTAGACATTGAGTTTTATACTCCCATCCCTGACTAGCAGACTATACAGGCAGACAAACAAACAAGCGGGTGTGTAAACGAACCTTAACGGTATTGTAACCTTTTTCGTATAATATACGTGTGTATTTTTTCGAACACTTTATATATTTTATAAAAATTTAAAGTTTTTTTTATCATTTTAACATGTTTGATAAAGCAAAATCTATAGAAAAAGAGGTTCTTCGAGAACGACGGCCGGACGAATTTATGGTACTCGTGTAAAGTTTATTTTTGTTATTTTTATAATTTGATTTAACGAGTGAAAATACTTACTGATGTTGCATAATATTTAAATTTTAATCACTCAAGTAAGTACATTGATCCAAATTGATGTTTCAGATAAGACCATGTCATATTTATAATGACGAGTTTTATGAATGTGAAAGGCCAAAAGGTCGTTTCCATCAGTATTTTATATTTGGTGAATATTTAAACTGTTGGCAGTGGCAAATGGATTTTGAAAATTGCAAAAAGTGGAAGGAAAGTCAAGATGAGGAAGCATATGTACTTGAAATTATCCAAATATTTTATCAATGCTAATTAAATTGTTGATAATCATCTGATAGGGTGATGTGTTTTTAGGCTCTACTAATAGCAAGTGAAAAAAAACGTAGGACAGAAAGACTGAAGGGTCACATTGAAAATGATGTTTGGGAGAAAAGAGACAAGCCACCAGAAAATTGGGATGCGCCTTTGCCAGAGTGGTTAGAAAAGAAGAATGCCAATACGTATTTGGACTTTAAAGCCAAATCCATTCGTGATGGAACAGTGAATGATTTGGATGTAAAAATGTACAATGCTTGTACTATCTTGTGACATGAGAAACATAGAGTGAAATAAATTAGCGTTATTCATATGGTATGAAATATGGTGTAAGTAATCATAAGATTGTATAATTGTTAAAACTTTGGTGAAAATAGATTTTGTAATTTTTTCTCCATGTTGATAAATCAATACTGAGTGAACTCATTGATTTCTCAACTAATTTAATATTTTTGACAGAAGATACAATTTTAGAAAATAGTCCATTTAATATCATCAAATTTATGGACGTCAACAAAAACCGATTTCCAACGATTTTCAATTCTTTTGATAATCTAAATATGTGTACATAGTTGATAGTATGGTGAGATAAAAATGCTAATAAAAAATTAAGTTTATGCATAAATAAGTGGATGTTTCTTTTTCAATAAAAATACATTCCTTAATAGTTGTTGTCTGTTCAACAATTGTATATTTAGTTACACCTATGAATTCATTTTTAAAGATACACTGAAATAACTGAGCATAAATCATGTGTAAAATGTAATTATTTCAAATTTTGTGTCACCTTGTACAGTAAAAATATTACTATGATTTTTTTCTCAGCAGTATAATAATGATAACGAATCTTGTATTTTAGGAATATTCATGTATTCCGCGTGTTAAGTAAATATACTAAGACAAAAATAAATTTGATTTTAGGACGGTTTAATTTACATAAAAGTTGGCACTTTTTCTTTTAAATGAAAAACTCATACATTCAAAATTGCGCTAATGATGCTTATGTGTAAAGGCCAGCGAAGTTTTTACGGAATAAATTCAGGGTTTGTAGGAAAAAATGTATAAAATCGTTAAGCATACATCTTTATTACATACTTAATTCATAAAAAAAAAACGAATTATATTCCAGGATTCACGAGAAAAATCTACAAAATCTATTGTTACTATATATTTAAGGTTTAATCAAACGGAAATGTGATTAAGAAGCGTGTAGTGTTACATATAGACATGTGTGCCTCGTAAAAAAAAATTAAAGCCCCTCATGTGCTCTAAAAAAACATCTTTTTTGCGAAATCCTCTCCGTAAGTATATATACACATTATACATGCAGCTCACGTCCTGCAGCACTGCAGCAGAACTTCTCTCTCTCTTCTGCCCTTTCGTTTCGCTCGCGCAGGTCTTCACCTATATATATATATATATTTATTTGCGGCGTTTGAGCTTCGAGCTCGGTGGTTTGTTTATATTTACGCTTTTAGTGCGGGGCAGCTGCGCTGCGTTGTACGCATTTCGAAAAATCTGTTTCAAGTATAAGTACTTGAAGGCGATGACGTAAGACAAGCGTTATTTTAAAAGCGAGAGAACGACGAGTAAGCATTCCAATATATAATTGAAT